GGGTTAGGCTAGGTTAAGGTATGCATGTTCTTCTGCTTTACTTCCGTCATTCTCAGAGCTTGCTCCATGCAATGAAGAAGGCTTGGAGACCGAACGTTATGTACTGACGGGCCAGTTTTCTGACGTTGCTTCGACTAAATCTCAGGACCTAGGGATTCGGTCGGTCATTAGACATGCCCCATCTCTAATTGACGGACACAAGGTGCTTGAACAACTGCTGACAAGCACTTCAAGCCGATCGAGTGTGAAGAGCCGTGAAAGACTGCAGCGTCAGGACAACTCACCAGAGGGCGGGCAGGGTCCAGAGCAGCAGGCTGACCAGCCGGGTCCGATGCTGGCCGGCCATGACTGCCAGCGCCGCGGCGGAAGGTGACGAGCGCCTCTAGTCCCCGGTACTTTGCCGCTTCCCGCCCGTGGCGTGTGGCCATGCAGTGTCCGGACCGGGCCGGCCAGCCCCCAGCGCCGCACTGTTGTGACGACGCCGGCGGAAGCCGTCACTGCCGTGACGCCCGGCCGCGGGCCGCCACGGCCTGTAGTGCCGCCGCGCACGCAGCGCGCTTCGTAACGGCGCCGACACGCAATCGATAGCTCGTGTTTCCGGTAGGCAAAGCGACCACAGCAATGGAGGATGGGTGACGGAATGCAGATTTTTAGTTTGGGATTATCTCGTCACCCAAGAAGCAAGAAGCGTCAGGAAGCAGGTCACCACTTCGTTGTCTAGTTATTGTGTGCGGCAGGATGGAGAAAGCCTGATACACAATCACAGGCAATTTTAGATCATTCCCTAATCGGCCGGTTAAAAAGCACGCTAACGGACATATGCTATTTGCATTCATTCTGCGCTCTTCAAAATGCACCTGATGCTTAAGGCAGCCCATCATGCTGATTATCACCTTTGTGTGCACCAAGCTCAGTTCTTACCCACTGCCTGTCGCCGTAGGACAGTTTGATAGAGCGCCTGCCTCCCATCCCATCCGCAGCCGTTGGAGTGAGCTCAAGTCACTTCCGAAACTGCTGTTCGTCCCTGGCTAGGGTGACCTGCAGCCACTGGCAGCGGCCGCTCAAGGTCGTATGAGGTCAGAGGGCTGGGCGGACCGTGCCGAGCATTGCGGCACGCTAAACTTTCACATGAAAATAAATCGCATAATTGGATAGGGCGGTCAGGGTTCACACAACAGGCGTTGCTTGTCGTGAACCCTGAGAGCAGCAATCCACCTAATCGAGAGTTTCTGGCCCAATCTATGAACACATAAAGTAGGTGGTCTGCTTCTTAGTCATCCAGTCCAAATTTTGCCCGAGAGCTTGGACTTAAAACACGCAAAACACAAGCACGGCTTGAAGGTTATGTTAAGCAGTGGGTTGTGTGGGTTTTTACAGCATTGCTTGCAACTTTATGACATTTGAGTAAGAACACCCGGAATTTGTTTTGAACTCTCAAAATATTGATCGCAGTCAAAAAGAATGGTCCGCGGCATTACAACGACGTTTGATCATTACCTCCTGGTAAATGAAGGCCAGCTACTCAACATCTTAGGAGCTTTCAACGCATAATGCTGCAAACCAGGAGCTCAAAGGCATTCTTTCCTATATGAAGGCAAGACAAACTTACAGTCGCGCTTCCACACTTACCTACGATTTACACAAGAGTATGTTAACAAACCAGTGCCGTCCTACCCTCCTCTCTGACCTCCTTTGCCAAATGCCAATCAAAACGCCATGACAGTGAAATAATCGCATATTTGTCTCGCCAAGCATTAACCACCCTCACAGATATGTTAGGGGCGCAAGGTGTATCGCGTTGCTCAATAGTTATCATCCGCGCAAGTGCGCCAGATCAGGGATGTTGTAGCTCATTCCATCAGATGCATGATGACGGTACGAGCATTTTCCATAAGCGTGTACATTTCTTGCAAATTTGTATAACATCAGTCATGGTAGAGGACAGCAGTTGGTCACTACCACGAACTTTTTAAGGAATTTTGGATGGAGAGGAAATTCTGAAGATATGAGATCCCAGAGCAGATTCGCCTGGCCTATTCTAAATTACGATTTCTCCTTAGGTTGAAGTCACTTTTGCATGCTCTGACAACGATTCTGAAGCTTTCAGACCTCAGAGCCGAGCAGATCTTCATTGACGCTGGCTTCGGAATATCAAGCAAGTTGGCAAAGGCGCGCAGTAAAACGATATGTTCGTACCTACAGCATATTTTGCTCACCAGAAACCTGCATGACGTGGCAAATACAAGTCTCTAAGAGGTGAGGTGGAGAAAGTTTAAATGATTTGATTGGATCGTTGGTTTACTGTTTTTCACCACTCAAACTAAATTTCTGAATGAATGACACCTTTGCTTCGTCTAAACCCTCAGTTATAGGAATTGTTAGAATATCTAACGGCAGCTGTCAACACTAAAGTCGGGTCTCGCTGCACACGACCGGCGCGGCTGCGATGGGTGTCGCTACACACGACCGGCGCGGCTGCGATGGGTGTCGCTACACACGACCGGCGCGGCTGCGATGGGTGTCGCTACACACGACCGGTGCGGCTGCGATGGGTGCCGCTACACACGACCGGCGCGGCTGCGATGGGTGCCGCTACACACGGCCGGCGCGGCTGCGATGGGTGTCGCTACACACGACCGGCGCGGCTGCGATAGGTGTCGCTATATATGGCCGGCGCGGCTGCGATGGGTGTCGCTACACCGACCGTCGCGGCTGCGATGGGTGTCGCTACACACGACCGGTGCGGCTGCAATGGGTGCCGCTACACACGACTGGTGCGGCTGCGATGGGTGTCGCTATACACGACCGGCGCGGCTGCGATGGGTGTCGCTACACACGACCGGCGCGGCTGCGATGGGTGTCGCTACACACGACCGGCATGGATGTGATCGTCGCTGGCCGCACTGGCGCGATGCGCCGGTTCCCGTTCCGGGCGGCCCACCCGTTAGCCAGCCCCTACCAGCTTTGCTACTCTGAACCCTTCCCTCCTCCACCTGTCGTCATGTGAACTGCACCTGGATCATAATGCGCATGTGGCAAGGAATGCATGTAATGTGGTTCGTTCTCTTCTGCATCGGTAGGCATTTTGGAAGCCTCTTAAATCGTAGCTGTTGCCACGGTAAAAGAACGGCCTCAGGATATCGTAAAAGTATTTGCAACTGACCTTACCAACACCAAATAACTAAAGGCAGACTGCTCATGCGGCTGTGAATGGGGATATCGTCATTAATAGGGACTGCCGTTCAGGTAATAAAAAGGGCCATTAGCATTAATCACACACAGCGACTTCACCGGCTTTGCCAGCGTAGCGTGTTGTATGGATATTTTAGCCTGTGAACACGCAACGTAATAGGCAAGACTAGGAGTTCCCTCGTTTCTGCGTCACAACAACAGATCGAACAGGAATTTCAACGTAATTAGAGGGTCTTGGACCATGCAGTGAATGTCAGGAATGGGGGCCCAGCAAGGTTCAGGGCAAATTTAGGTTAGGTCAGGTACAGCTTCATCGTGTATGCAGAGCTCCACGTCTGGCGAACAAGTAAAATGATGTCAGGCTAGACATCGCATCTGTGCAAATCACGGCTCTGCCCCCTCCCCCCCCCCCCCCCACCCCAGAGTGAAGTGAAACACTGTCGGGGTCGACCGAAAAAAGCGATCAAAAATCCAACCAGTGTGTTATGCTGTCAGCTGATAGCACTATTCCAACGCAATCAAATGCACATGGTCGCAATTTACGGGTTTGACCTGAAATATATTTCCGAGCCGCCGCTGTGGGGCCGTGCCATCACTCCACAAGCCGACAGACCACTATTAGCTATGCGCCGCCTAGGGGTGATGGAACAAATATGGTCCTTACGGCCGATGACAAATTTACATTACCGGTCGACAGTGCTCCCACAATGACATCGTGTGCGCAAGGGTGCACCCATCGCACACAAGAAAAAAACATTTAGACATCGTGTTTGTGCAAATCAGTGTTCCGTCTAGCCTCCAAACGTTAGGTGTTATCAAAACGGCCAAGATCGCAGGGTCTAGTGTTCTTATCATCCTAAACCGCAACATCCAGTGTCCGTAACATCCTAAATGCGTCCAATTCCGTGCTCATTGGCGAACTCCACAGCATCTAAGCTCGCAAAGCCCAAACTCAAACAGGCAATTTTCCTAACATTCAGTGGGCGCGACATCCAAAGTAAGCATATATGATGCATGTGAGCATTTTGCGTGACAATGTTTTTGGGACATAATCATTTTTGATGGTGTATTCGCATTGCCCTGCCAAGAGACTGTCGTTAGTGAACGGGGACACGCACTGAAGCTAATTTTGTATAAAAAATCCGATCGACTTACCCTACAATGGCCCTTTGTTCTAACGGATATATTTAAGGGCGGTTGGGGGTATTATTCTATGCGCACCATATTTATGCAAACCATCCAGCACTAAAGATCTGCAAATTAACCAACGCCTAAGAAGATCAAAGCACAGCAACAGCAAAATTCTTGGCACCTGCCCTCCTCACACAGTACCTTATTTTCACATTTCACTCCATAAAGATACCACAGTACGAAGATATATACCCGATTGTCACCCATTGATTGATTAAGGTAAACATTACTCATCATATTTATTTATTTACACACAAATATTCCTTCGACAAAAACGCATTATATATAGAGCTGCAAACACACAGCAGCCGCCACCCCAGCCCACTTCTACGTTATTAGTGCGTGATCACAACATTGCGACGCATTAAAAACCATAAGAATATACCGGGCCATGGTGTCAAAGATCATATTCCATGCCATACTTCTACCACACTAACCCGTCATATTTGCCCGCCCTTTCGACCAATGCACAAACAGTAGGGAAAACTTCACCTTGAAAAAACAGACCTCGGTTGATCCTAAGGTCCTAGAACAGTGGTTGCTCCAAGGCCAGGTTGATCCAGGGCCCTAGAACAGATGTTGTTCCACCGGGATCTCCTTGACGCGTGAGTATCGTGCCAACAGTTTGTTGGGGTGAGATCAAGGCTGTCTAACGGGTGAGATTCCCGGGCGTACACCGTCGTTATCGAAAGTATCAGGTAATTTTTACTTGGGTACCTGTATGGCCGACGGAGGGAAGAGCTACGCTAGCTGCAGGGTTTCGAGTATTGTCGTGCGGGGCAAAAGCTGTGAGGCATCAGCTAACATGTGACGTCACTGAAAATGGTTTTGCATCGATCGGGATCGGGGTTCTTTCGGGCCGACTGACGGCCATAAGGCTTTTGCTTGTGATATGATGTCACTGGTATTCGGCTGGGTATGTGACGTCACTGGTCGTGAGTGTGTAAGGCTCTTTTGGGTCACTGAATGCCGTAATGCATCAGCTGGCCATGTGTCGTCACTGGTATTCGATTGAACATAGGGCGCGGCCGGCCCTCGTTCCATCTTACTTTTCGTACCTGTCTGCTGCAAGCATTTGCGTGCCGCATACAGGTTTGACCGAATTACCCCAATGTGTGAGCGTCCCTAATCATCACTTCATACTAGTGCACTTAGGCCCCACGGACCACGGTGTGTCGTGGTCCGCGAAGTATCACCGGATAGCGTGACGTCACTGGTATTCGAATAAATACTGGGCGCAACAGGACCGTGCTTCATTTTTACCTTTGTACCTTGTCTACTGCAAGCATTGGCGTGCTGGATGAAAGCTGCCGAACCACCTGAGTGTGTGACATCACTGGCCATGAGTTCCAACCGGTGCTTTTCGGCCAACTGAAGACCACAAGGTGTCAGCTAGCGACGTCACTGCTATACGACTACTGTAAGACGTCAATGGCAGTGGGTTTCCACGGGCCCTATAGGACCGACGAAATGCCGTGAGGCATCAGCTGGCGATATGACGTCACTGGTATTTGGCTGAACATCAGGCAACAGGTCATGCTCCATTTATACCTTTCGTACATGTCTGCTGCAAGTATTGGCGGATTTTTTGGTGCGGCCAACTAAAGACCATAAAGCATCAGCTAACGATGTGACGTCGCTGGCACTCGACTGTGCGTTGTCGCTGGTCATGAGGTTTACGGCCTCTTTTGGGCCGACGAAAGGTCATACGGCAATGACTGAAGATGTGGACGTCACTGGTATTCGAATGAAACTTCGGGCGCGACAGACCATGTTCCACCTTTATCTTGGTACCTGTCCATTGCAAGCATTGCCGTGGAGGCTCTGCCAAATTACCTGAGTGTGTACGTCACTGACCATTAATTTGCACACTCTTTTGAGCCTACTATAGGCCACAAGGCATCAGCTGACGATTATGATGTCACTGGGTTTCGACCAGACATCACGCGCAACAGGCCATGCTCCATCTAAGCCATGTTTCGTCTGTACCTTTTGCACCTATCTACTGCAAGCATTCGCGCGCCACGTAATGCTCTGCCGAATTATCTGAGCGTGTGGTGTAACTGGTTATGAGTTTACACGGGCTTACTCGGGCTGACTGAAGGACATCAAGCATCAGCTGACGATATGACGTCACTGGTATTCGACTAAACTCCAGGCGCGACAGGCCATGTTCCATCTTTACCTTTCGTACCTGTCTCTTGGAAGTATTGGCGTGCTGAATGAAGGTTCTGTCGAGTCTCCTGAGTAAGCAACGTCACTGGGCAAGAGCTTTTTACGGGATCTTTTGTACCCCCAAACGGTATAATGCATCAGCTTACGATATGACGTCACTGGTGTCCCACTTAACATCAGGCGCAACAGGCCATGTTCTATCTTTACCTTTCGTACCCGTCTATCACAAGTATTGACGTGCTGAATGAAGGCTCTGTCGAGTCTCCTGGGTGTGTAACGTTACTGGTCATTAGTTTTTTCCGGCTTCTTGGAACCCTCTATAGGGAAAAATGCATCAGCGGACGACATGATGTCAGTGGTGTTTGACTTAACATGAGGCGTAACAGGTCATGTTCCATCTTTGCCTTTCGTATCTGTAAAGTATTGGTGCGCTAAATGATGGCTTTGCCGAGTCACCTGAGTGTGCGACGTCACTGGTCATGAATTTTTACCAACTAATTTTGGCTGAGCAAAAGCCATAAGGCATCAATCAACTAACGAAATGACGTCACTGTTAATCCACTGTGTGTGTGTGGCGTCACTGGTCATGAGCTTTTACGGGCCTTTTTTGGCCGAGTTAAGGCCATTAGGCATCAGGTAGCGATATGGCGTCACTTGTATTCGAATAAACATCAGTTGCAATAACCCATGTTTCATCTTTACCTTTCGCACCTGCCTACTGCAAGTATTCGTGCGCTGCAAAAAGGCTCTGTCGGTTCGCCTGAGCGTGTGGTGTAACTGGTCATGAATTTGTGCGGGTTTACTCGGGCTGACTGGACACCAAGCATCAGCTGACGATATGACGTCACTGGTAATCGACTAAACTCCAGACGAATCATCTGAGTGGATGATGTCGCTGGTCATGAGTTTATACGGATTCACTTGGGCCGCCCAAGGCCACAAAGCAACACCTCCCGTGAAGCATCACAGGATGATATGTCATCACTGTTATTCGACTTAACATCAGGTCCAACATGCCACGTACTTGCTTTACCTTTCGTACCTGTCTATTAAAGGTATTGACGTGCTGAATGAAGGCTCCGTCGAATCTCCCGAGTGTGTGACGTCACTGGTCACGAGTTTTTTACGGGCTCTCTTGAACCCATTATAGGTTATAATGCATCAGCTGACGACATGCCGTTACTGGTGCTCGACTAAACATCAGGCGCGACAGGTCATGCTCCATATTTGGCCTTTCGTACCTGGCTGCTGCAAATATTCGCGTGCTATATGAAGGCTCCGCCGAATCACCTGAGTATGTGACGTCACTGATCATCAGTTGGTGGGAGGTCACTTGGCCACCTACGGCGACGGAGTTCCGCAGCAGAGGTGGGAGATGCACCATAGTTAAGCACACTAATTTTTATGTGCGCAACATTAAGTACAACTTCAAACGCAACGGGCTGTTTCAACGACTAAATTTTGAACAAAGTAAACCACAAAACAAAGGTGATCCCAGCCCACAAACCGACGTATATTGCAAAGCTATTCGCCCGACATCACAGGATGCGCCCCTGAGCAGCTACGGTCCGGAATGCCCTGATTGGCTAAATAATAATCAAGGGCGCCGCCTAGCGGCCATAAGTCGGGCCCACAGCCCTAATATCAGTGACGTCATATGGTCAGGTGATGCTTGATGTCCTTCAGTCAGCCCGAGTAAGCCGCGTAAACTCATGACCAGTTACACCACAATGCTCAGGTGATTCGGCAGGGCCTTTAGTAGCGCGCGAATACTTGCAGTATAGAGGTGCGAAAGGCAAAGATGGAACATGGCCTGTTGCGCCTGAGATTAAGTCAAAATACCAGTGATGTCATATCGTCAACTGTGTCTTGTACCCTATAGGTACCAAAAAAGCAGCCCGTAAAGACTCCTGACCAGTGGCATTACACACTCAGGAGTTTCACAGAGCTTTCTTAAGCATGTCAATGCTTACAATAGCAGGTCGAAAGGTAAAGACGACATGGCCTGTCGCGCCTGGTGTTAAGTTGAATACCAGTGACGTCACATCGCCAGATGATGCTTGATGTCCTCAGTCAGCCCGAGTAAACCCCCGTAACTCATAACCAGTCACACCACACGCTAGGTGATTGGGCAGAGCCTCTATGTGGCGCGCGAATACTGCAGTAGATAGGTGCGGAAGGTAAATGAAAACTGACATATTGTATCTGATGCTTAATTGAATACCAGTGACGTCATATCGTTACCTGATGCCTAATGGCCTTAAGGGCGGCCCAAAAAGGCGCGGGAAAACTCAGACCAATGGCGTCACACACTTAGTGGATTACCAGTGACGACATATCGTTTAGATGACGCCTAATGGCTGCACTCGGCAAAACAGCCTGTAAAAGCTCATGATGACGCACTCAGGTGATTCGGCAGAGCCATCATTAGGCTCGCCAATACTTTAACAGGTGCGAAACGCAAAGATGGAACATGACATGTTGTGCCTGATGTTAAGTCGAACACCAGTGGACATATCGTCAACTGAAGCATTATACCATATAGGGGGTTGAAAACAGCCCGTAAGAACTCTTAACCAATGACGTGATATAACACGCGAATGCTTGCAGTAGACAGGTACGAAAGGTAAAGATGGAACATGGCCTGTTGCGCCTGATGTTGAGTCGAAAACCAGTGGCGTCATATCATCCCGCGATGCTTTACAGGATATGATGCTTTGTTGCATTGGGCTGCCCAAGTGAACCTGTATAAACTCATGACCAGTGACGTCACGCACTCAGATGGTTTCAGCATCACCTTGATATAGCACGCGAATGCTTGCAGTAAACAGGTACGAAAGGCAAAGATAGAGCATGGCCTGTTGCGCATGACACCTAGACGAAAACCGGTGACGTCATATGGTCAGCTGATGTGGTATGGCTTACAGCGGGTTCAAAACAGTCTATACAAATTAATGGTTAGTGACGTTACACACTCAGGTAATTCGGCAGACCCTTCCTTCAGCATTCAAATACTTGCAATGGACAGGTACCAAAGGTAAAGATGGAGCATGGCCATGGCCGCCTGAATTGTATTCGGATACCAGTGACGGCACATCTTCACTTATGTCGTATGACCTTTCGTCGGCCCAAAAGAGGCCGTAAAATCTGATCACAAGTGACATCCACACACAGTCGAATGCCAGTGACGTCACATCATTAGGTTATGCTTTACGGCCCTCAGTTGGCCCCCAAAGATCAATAAAAATGCATGACCAGTGGACGTCACACACTCACGTGATTTGGTAGCTTTTATTCATCACGCCAGTGCCTTGCAGTAGACAGGTACGAAGCTAAAAATGAACCTTGACCTGTTGCGACCAATATTTAGTCGAATATCACTGACGTCAACGATACCCAGTGATATTTCACGGAACATGATACACCGCGGGCCGTGGGGCCTAAGTGCACTCGTATCAAGTGATGATTGGTGACGTCACACATTCAGGTGATCGGTCAAGCTTTTATTCGGCACGCAAATGCTTGCAGCAGACAGGTACGAAAGGTAAAGATGGAATAAGGCCCGTTGCGCCTGATGTTTCATTGATACCAGCGACGACATATCGTCAGGCGATGCTTTACGGCATTCATTGCACCCAAGAGCCCTAAAGTCTCACAACCAGTGACGTCACATATCCAGTCGAATACCAGTGACATCATATCGCTAGCAAATGCCTTGTAGCCTTCAGTCGGCCCAAAAGAACCCCGATCGATGCACACCCATTTTCAGTGACGTCACTACGTCGGCTGATTCCTAACAGCATTTCTCCATCACGACAGTACAGGAACCCTACAGCCAGCGTAGCTCTCTCCCCTCCGTCGGCAATACAGGTACCCAAGTAAAAAAAGCCAGGTTCCCGGGTGTACACCGTCGTTATCAAGATTATCGTATGTTGAGGGCAAGGTGATAGGTTGTCCGTGAAGTGTTTCTGTTTTATGATTACTTATGGTGTCTTAGATCTTGAAAACAACATGTAGTGAACAATTACACGTCGCACTGTTAGGTACCAATGTACGCCATGACTGTCATTCGTCAACACCAGAAACAGTTATGGAGCGAACCAAATATTTGTTTCTTTTACTTTCCTTGCTGACAGCAGGATGCAAAGTAAAGTCGGTGAAATCTAAGGATGAATTGGACAGAGGGGTGGGAATAAAGATGGCCAAAATCTAAGCAAAATTTGGGGTCTGGGGACTTCATGATTTAGCTTCTGTATTGTCTGAACCTCCTGAGTAATTTTAGAAAGAGACTACAATGGGGGAAGAAGATGTCCAGTGAAACCAAGCAGCATTCTGAAATGTATGGTGTGAAAAGCAAACTTGAGTGTCATAGAACCCTGAATGTCATGATCATGTATCCACGTTATCACATTGTCATTACCATGTTGGCTTCAAATGGGGAGTTATTCCTCAACATAGCAACAATTTTGGAGCCCAAATACTTTCTCTTTTAACAGTGTGCATGCACCCTTGAATGCACTTACCTTTACTTGGCAATTTTAGTTCAATACAAATTCTTAAATTCATCAATACTTGCATTATAGTTATGCTTTATAGCACTATAACACAAATTTCTTAGGATCTCTCACCTGGTCTTGTACTCTGTACAAGTTTGGACTACATAAACAGTTGTAACTGTGCTTCTTTGTGGTGGCAATCCAGTTGTGTGGTATGTGGCAATGTGATAGGATATAACCTTTGTGTGGTGCTTAAGTCTATGCATATTGTGTTGGGTGCAAAGGTTGGGTATGCTATGTTTCATCATCATTTATATTGAGTGTATTGGACTTAAAGTCTTCATGCAAACAAACATTTGTATGAACTGAATAAAACTGCTGAAGTGTGTTTTTAATGTATATTTATTTCAGGCTGTTATATAAACAAGATGGCAGATGACTCAAATGACTGGACAAGCTTGGCTTACAGGCAGAAAGCCAGGCAGCATATTGAGGATGTGAGTAATATATGCCTATTTCCATATACCATATGGAATCATGTCCATGCTTTAAGCTGGTGCTGAAGCAATCTGAATATTATAGCAGAGTTTTGACTTTTCTCTTACTTTACTCTATTGATAAGGTACACACAATGCACATTTGCATGGCAGCCTTTATGCATGTGATCAAAACCTAACAAGCTGGCTATTGCTGTCAATAGCTAGGCATGCAAATTGCCAAACTATTTTGATGGCTGCATGATGTATTTACATAAAATGAGTTGTGGGGGGGGGGGGGGGGTGAAGGGTAAAAGCTGACTGAGCCTACCCACTAAATATGTGAGCATGCATGTTTCTCACTATTTTAGGCTCACTTTCTCCAGACAGTTGAGGAGGGAGGAGGGCAGTGCAGCAAGCAGCCCCCCAGAAAACTACATCCATGGTTGTTTGTGTCTTATTCCAGCACAATAAATGCAATATCTTTGTTGACAATGAATGGTGTGTTTCTAGTTCAATAACTGAACCATTATGCCAGGTCGAAGACAAAATTTTCTCAAAAATCTAATTTATCCAGCTTTACACGCTCATGTATTTGATACCATGTGCCATAACGGCATTACCCCAAACAGACATGTTCCCGGCTAAATTCTGAGTACAATGGTGTATAGTTTGGTGTGTTTTAACCATACATGTATGATGCATGGCTTCAGAAATGTAACAATGTCAGTCTGCTGCACATGCCCCATGGCATGGTTGGTTGCTGCCTGTTGCTTGCTCAGAAACTTGCAATTGATGCCCCATAGGCTACTGAAGATTTGTGCGTGGTTGGACGTCATGCCAGGGAGGCATCCATAGAAAATCGCAAGGAGGGGTTGCATCAACCTCCCACCCTATCAGGACAGGGGTTAATGTCCTGTTTAGTGTTTATTGTGAAGTTGGGGCAAAATATAACAATTTTAATCTTGAGTTCTCTCAGTGAATTCCTTATGCCAACTTGCCAGAGCTACACATTGTGGAAATGAGTTTTGTGCCTGGTTGTCCAGCCATGCCATCACCACTCATGTCCTCCCTTCAATGCAACTGAATTTTGGACTGGACCTGGAGTGGTGCCCATATAAACTCTTGGTGTCCATGAAGGGGTAAGGCCTTGCACACAAATCCTGGTTGAGTGCCTGGTCCCAAGCCTGATTGAAATCAGAAAAGGTGTGTTGAAACTTGGTGACACTCAGATACAGGAACATCTAGTTTGTGTTTTTATGGTGAGGAAATGTCAGTGCAAGCCTTCAGTTTCCTATGTGTCATCAGGTGTGGTCCTCTATTTGACTTGTAAATACAAATTTGAAGAATGTGTAGTGTGTACTCAACTTGTATCATTGACTGCACTGCCTCCAAATCTGAAAGTCAGTTTTTGCTCATTTTGAAACCATGAGCTGTTTAGGATGGATAGTGTTTGGCCTACCCCAAACAAACATGAAGGGGCTGCATGGGATCTTTGTTGCAAATGCATCATCACCATTTGACAGTCACTTATGATGAAGGACCCCTTTACTTTAGTTCAAAGGTCTTGCTTGTTCTTCAAAGTTTTGAAGCTCTCCATGGGGCTGGTGCACTGTCAGTAGTTTGGCGCAAATGGTCTAGTCTTGTCCATTGTGGGAGGTCCTGGTGTGTTTCTTCTTGAGTCTCTCTAAAGATAGAGTGTTAAATTTTCCAGGGTTCTGTCTGGCCATGGGCAAGTGCTGAAGAGGACTGGTGAAGGAGAGTCATTAGGCTGGATTTGCAACAACCCTGTCAATAGTTCGTGCGTTTTTTATGCGTCGTGGTCGTTATGGAAACTCAATGATGCACTCAGCTGCTGAAGCTATGTGGGGTCGCCTATCTCTCACCCTCGCGGGGAGAGCGGGCACCGCGGGGAATCGAACCCCGTACCTCTGGTTTCCCAGACGTGCAGTGATTAACGCAGGCGCCTTAACCACTGCGCTGTCGGCACCCAGCTGCAGCTTTTTATGCGTACTTTGTATACTGCATTGTATTGGTTACTTTTTTCTAAAGTGCACCAACGACGGCGCACCGATTGCACTTGAATTAAGAGCGCGTGCATTTTCGGAATGCTGTTGGCATTATTCTACCGTCCAAGCCAGGCCAGTCGTCTGTTGGAATTTTTTGTGTCGGCGGTAAGCAAGACATGGCCATCGGTCGTACTGTAATTGATTTAAGCCGTTACGTCGATGCCCTGATGATTAGAGTGCTGATCCGTGTCAGATGTCTACGATTTCCTGACTGCTGCGGACGGTCAGCCTGCCTTCCAAGAGCGAGCGGTGTAAGACCTGACGGCTCTTTACCAGGCCGTATTGAAAGCCACCGTGCTGCAACGAGGCTAGTTCCCCAGCCAACTCCCCCTGTTTTCGGCAGGCCATCCGCATGTCTGGCAACCCGACCAACAAAACGAGCGCCGAGATGGAGGACCACGTTTTCCAGCGAGCCAAGAGTCGCGAGGAGTACGTGGGCTTCCTCAGCCGCCTTATCCTGCACATCAACAAGTACAAGCAGGTCGGTGATCCGATGAACGCGCTGCAGAACATGGCTGGTCAGCAGCAGCAACAGCAGCCGCCGCAGGACCAGGCGGCCATGCTGTCCATGCAGGGCATGGCGGCCCGCGGTCAGATGGCGCAACAGCCGCAGGGCTGCCCGATGTCGGCCCTGCAGCAGCAGCAGCAACAGCAACAGCAGCAGCGCATGCAAAGCCAGATGATGATGCAGGGCGGCGGCCAGATGAACATGCTGCCGATGGGTGGCATGGTGCGCCAGCAAGCGCCCGGCATGGGCATGATGGGGCCGCGCGGCATGGCGCCGTCGCCCGGCGCGCTGGCCGCCATGGCCGGCAAGCAGCAGCCGTCGCCGGCGTTCCCGGCGCCGTCGCCCGGCGGTGGGCTGGGCCAGTCTCCCATGGCGCCCGGCTCGGTGAAGGTGCCCAGCCAGATGAGCGCGCCGTCGCCACAGCTGCACACGCCCGCCGGGCCCGCCAACGCCACGCCCTCGCCGCGCAACCAGCACGACGAGGCCCAGTACATGGAGAAGGTTAAGCAGGTGAGCGGCCCAGGGGCGCCGGCCCGCTCGGGGCGAGTGCTGGTCCGTGAATACCGCCATGGAGAGACTGGGGTAAAACCACCAGCACGTAAGTGGTGTCTTTTGTCGGTGGTAGCAGTTCATATCGGGCGAAGTCGGAGTCGCGTTTCCTTGATAATTGTCAGTTCAAACGGTATATATATATATATATATATATATATATATATATATATATATTATATGTTGACCGCCGAATTAGCTCTCGGCGGGGTGCCCACCCGCTCCAGTTACTGACACTGGCAGATATTTTGCGGGCCCTCCCCTCTGACCTGTCATGTGATATTTTTCAGTTGAGCAAGTACATAGAGCCGATCAAGCGTATGATCGAGAATACCAGCCAGCAGGACACAGCGAAGCTCAGCAAAATGAAGAAGCTGCTGGACATTTTGGAGAACCCCAGTCGGCAATTCCCGGTGGACCTGCTCATAAAGTGCGAGCAAGTGCTGGAGAAGCTGGAGATCAATCAGCACAGCGACGCGGCACACGGTCATTCTCAGCAGCAGCACACCACACACAAGGAGTACCAGGTATGGTCATTCTCAGCAGTCGCACATCACGCACAGGGAGTACAGAGTTCTGGCACTCCCAGCAGTAGCACACCACGCACAAGGAACAACAGGGATGGGCATTCTCAGCAGCAGCACACCACACACAAGGAGTACCAGGTCCCAACGTGTGCAGTGCCCGGGTTCGAGTCCGTCTCTTTCGCCGTCTTGTTCGGATATGTCAAAATGTGGATGCACCTTGCCAGTGTGAGCCTCGGACTGTACGTTCTCAGCCCGCCTCCGATGTTCTGGTGTGGGGCGGCACCACCGTCCCCGCGGCGCGGGCTCCGGTCTCGCCGCGCAAACTGCCCACCCCCGTCGTCCGCCCGCTCCCCGTCCGCCGCCGTTCGCTGTCGCCGCGCGGCTGACGCCCCGTGCGCGCAGGTGATCCTGGACACGGTGAACGGCTTCAGCAAGTCGCCGTACCTGAACCACACGCTGGGCCGCACGATCGGTCCGCCGTATCAGGCGCTGCGCGGCTGCACGCTGCGTCTGCCGGCGGCGCGCCGGCCGCCGCGGCCGCCGCCCACCGCCGCCGGCCCCATCCCGCGCGCCCTGCAGCGCGAGGTGGCCGGCATGGAGAGCCGGTTCAAGGTCAGTGGCCGGAGGTGGAAAGCGGCGCTGGGTGCGGCACCATCTGCGTTCGGTGACGAGTCTTGAAAATGGTGTGTGGCGGTTCGTAAGGCGCACTTCGAGCTGGAGCGCGAGGTCCAGCTGCCATTGGTTCCTGTGGAAGTGGGAAACAACGGACATTGACAAAGATCTGTTGGAAGGATAAAGAGGCCGTTCATAAATTACATCACGCGTTTTCCTCGCTTCTGAACTTCCTCCCCCATTGTTACAGTGATTACGCTGCGTGGCCCCTGCCCTCCCTGGTTGTGCTATGTTAAGCATAATATCGGAAGCGCGTATGTCCGTTTGGACCCTAATGGAGCTTGAGGCGCGAAACGAAGAGGGACGGGTCGCGAGTCATAATGGGAAGCCAACGGTGGCTTTGTTTCAAAACACATTATTTGCAACCACATATAAGCGTAACGTGCTGTCCAGTCCCCTCACTCTTTGCATTGTTACGCCTCGGTTACGCTTGATGAAAGCACCCCATGCATGTGGACTCCTCCATACGGACGACCTAGAATTTAGCCTGCTGAAACTGTGTAATTATGGTCTGGGAAACTTCCTCGGCCGTCGTTGAGTTTACTGGCGTCGAGTTCATTGCTATGCTGACGCGGGTGCGCGTATGACGTCTGGACCTGCCGTCCGGCGGATGGGTGCCACTGTACAGCCAGTCACGCCGCGCCATCGGCGTCGAGCCGCGCTCTCGCGGCTGGGCCGGTATCACGGCCGCTGACCGCGGCGGCGCCGCTCCCGTCAGGTGACGCTGGACTCGACGTGTCCGCCGGGTAGCGGCGCCGGCGTGAGGCTGGTGGTGGAGCTGGACGAGCCGTCGGCGCCGAGCGTGCCGGCCGTGCGGCTGGCGGTGCCCTCCGACTACCCGGCCCGCTCGCCGCGCTGCGTGCACGACCGGCTGGCCTACGCCGGCACGCCCTTCCTGCGGCGCGTGCAGCAGTTCCTGGCGTCGCGACTGCAGAAGCTGCCCGACCGGTTCACGGTGTCGCAGGTGCTGCACCAGTGGGAGATGAGCGTGCGACAGGCGTGCGCGCCGCCGGCCGACGCGCCGCCCGCGCCGCCCGCCACCGCCGCCGCCGCTGCCGCTGGTGCCGCCGCACCTCCACTGGCAGCTGGTCAGCCCGCCGCCGCATAGGCGCCGGTGGCGACGGGGGCGGCCTGTCGTGGCAGGTGCTGCCGGACCGGTGTCTGGTGGTGGTGGGTGGGGGGGGGGGGGGGGGGAGGGCGTCTGGCTTCACCGCATGACGACGTGGGTAGGAGCAAGATGTGTCCCCGTGCGGTGTGGACCCGCTCTGGCTCCTCTGCGGTGTGGACCCGCTCTGGCTCCTCTGCGGTGTGGACCCGCTCTGGCTCCTCTGCGGTGTGGACCCGCTCTGGCTCCTCTGCGGTGTGGACCCGCCGGTGTGGACCCGCTCTGGCTCCTCTGCGGTGTGGACCCGCTTTGGCTCCTCTGCGATGTGAACCCGCTCGTCACGTGGCAGGTGTACATTGTAATATTGTCAGGAAAGAAGCTCCGTCACACGATACAGTTGTGCACAGTGAAGGTCAGCTTCTAGTTGCAAATGTGCGGGTGGATGTGTGTGCGGGCCGGTCAGTGCTGACAATAGCTTTCAAACCATTGGTTCCCGTATTCTCGGAAAGAATACTGTTGTAAACGGAACAGGCGCTCGCGAACAGGGGCACTTTGCGCGCGCAAACGTCACTGGCACCGTGTTTACACTCAAAATAGCATAACTATGTTCGCAGTATCCGATAGTCAGCTGTTCTTGTTGATGATAAAATGTTGCGACTATGGTGCGAGTTTGTCGTTTCTTCGGTAGCGGTATGTCTGGAGATGAATTTCGCCGAAGTAGATCACGCTTAGGCCCGATAATCAACATTTTTGGGGAAAAAACATCTGATTCTCATATCAGCAAAAGCGTACTAGTGAAAGCTTATTTTGGGATGGAAGGGTTCCAAGGTTTTACTGCCGTTTCGCGATGCTGGATTAGGTGCAGCCAAACTGCCTCCAACTCTTAACAACATTTAACGTTACTCTATGACGGTCCATACAAGGAGATACAGAGCGGGTTTGAAAATGTTTACTCCGTTTATGTGCGATTCCGTCGCTTTCACTCGTCTAAATATGAAACCGAACGGAGGCTGTGCGTTCTGTAGGGGTGTAGACTGTGCGCTTTACCCCAGCCGTTTGCGAGCTTCGCGGAGCCGTGCCCCTTCTGGGCCTCACCCCTTCAAGGGGCCTCGCCCCTTCCCGGAGCCTTGCTTTTTCACGGAGCCTCTCCCCTTCACGGTGCCTCGCTCTTTCACGGAGCCCCGCCCCTCCACGGAGCCCCGCCCCTCCACGGAGCCCCGCCCCTCCACGGAGCCTCGCCCCTACTGGGCCCGTGGGTGACCAGAAAAAGAAATAGCACCTTGACTTCAGATGTCATCCGACACGTTTTATTTTCATCTCGCGTCTATCACTCCCAGTGGCTGCACACTTTCTTCTGACGACCGTCTGGCCGGCGGCCAATGGCTCCTGTCCGCTGCCGTCCCCACCATGGTCGGGCCAGAGTTCCTGCTGACAACTGCTGTTGCTGCTGTGGCTCGGCCTGCGCTGGCTATGGCTGCTGGCTGCCCGCCAGGGCTCGGTGCCGGTTCGATGGAACTTGTGCTGATCCAACCAGCTCTTGCATACGCTCGGCTTGTGCTGGTTGCGGCCGCCGTCCGGGCGGCCGGCCCCGGCCAACGCCCGGCGGCCCAGCACCAGCAGGCCGGCGATGAGCAGTGGGCCGGCCAGCAGCAGCGCCAGCACGTCCAGCAGCCAGTACTGCAGCGGCCCGAGGTGGCGGTCGATCATCTGCAGGTGTGGCAGCCGGCCGAAGCGCACCTTCATGGTCAGCCAGTGCTCGACGCGCTCCAGCGCTGTTTGTCCGTCCGCCCGCCAGATGGCAGCAGTGCGCCGCGCCCTGCGCTGGTACCTGGACAGCGGGGGTTAGGAGCGTCAGATGGACTGCACGCAGGCATCGGGACGGTGCCTTCTGGTCTATGTGTATTAAAAGTGTCGAGTGAGCTACCGTGAGTGCTCACCTGGCATTGGGGATAAAAAGTTTATCGTAGTTTTTTAAATAGGTATGAAATTCACGCTAGCCCTACACGAAATAGCACGCCTAAATATAGGGCCGAGCTTTTTACACTTTTAAAAACTCGTTCCTATTTTTCACATTTTGTTCATTATATCTTCTGTCAATAACTATCATCGAATATTTCAGATATCATTCTGATATTTCTTCATCCCGCCGTCCTTTTCACACTCTAGCCACAGGTATTCCCTGGGAACTTAACGACTCCCTGCTAAAAGCTCTGTCCAGTACGAACATGAACATAAGGTCAGCGCCCTTTCGGGTCGTGGGTCCGGGTATCAGCTTGTGCGATCCCTGCTAGTTGTAATGGACGTAAGACTGGCGCAGGAGGGAGAAACACCGATTGTAGCCTTCCTCACGTCTGGTTGTACAGCAACGTTTTCAGCGAGCGCAGCAGCGCCTCGTCGGTCATGCTTTCCTTCTCCACCGCGATACCCAGGCCGCGATACTCCATGAACTTGGCGTTTTCGCCTTGATCGCCAAAAATGGGAACGCCCACTGGGAACAGGCCACCTCAGTTTCACAGATGTAGCCATGATGCGACAGCAGTTATGATACGGCACTAGTCAAAGTACAACAGCAGTTATGAGCCAACAGAAGTCATTACACGGCAGTAGTCATGATGCGACAGCATTCATGACACATCAGTGGCGTTGATACAGTAGTCATGATACGGCAGCAATCGTGGTGCGACAGCAATCATGATACAACAGTGTTCATTATACAATGGTGACCATGATACAATGGTAACCATGATACAATGGTAACCACGACGCAGTAGTCACGATGCGACAGTAATCACACACCAGTAGTCACGATACAACAGCGGTAATGATGCGACAGTTTTCATGATACAGGAGCGTCTATCGTACAATAGTGGCCATGATACAGTACTCGTGATGCGACAGTAGTCACACAACAGTTGTTATGACACAGCATATGTCATGGCACGACAGCATTCATGACGCGATAATAGTCATGATGCAACAGAAACCATGATATTGTAGTCATGATACGACAGTCTTCATGATACGCTTGTTGACTGATCATCAGCTGCTCACGTGAAAGTAGTTAAGAGTCATCAGGAATGGGCCGGGTGTACTTATATTCAATACCAGATTCCTGCACAAATTCGACTTCAGTCGCCCGGTTCAACGGCGCCAATTTTCAGTCACTGACGTCACATCTCGCCGTCACCAGCTGTCCCCGACCGCATGCACTCTGGGCTGTTGGAGCGCATGGCGGACTGGCGTGCCCATTCATTTACTCACGCATGGGAACGCCGTTATAAATGGCTTCCATGACGCTGTTGATCCCGCAGTGGTTCACAAATAGACGCGTGTTCGGGTGACCTGTTGGAAGACCGTGGCAGTGTAACGGGCTCAGGGCTGTCATTTGATGGAAAGAGCCGTGATGAACTACCGTCCAGAATCTGCCGGGTTGTGTTGTCTAACAGCCCACACGCATACACCGAATCGCGCATTGTAGAATCCAGGTAGGATCTTAAGCAGACTTACGTTACACCGGTTTTATAATGCAATGCACTGCACGATCAGCTCATCCAGAAGCACATTCAAGCGCGGAAAGCCAAGCGACCTTTCCATCCATCGCCCAGCGCAGCCTGCCTCACCAAGTACGTCCCGTTGTGGCATCCAGTCCACCATGTGGACGTTAGCGGGCACGTCGGCTGTTGACTTCAGGTGGTACCGCATCAGCACCTGCCCATCAGAGGGAAAGGCGGACAGTGACTCGCGTCGAAAACACACATCCATTGCAGCAGCTGGGCGGGCGCACGATGCGTCTCAGTGGAAATAGTTCTGTGGCACAACCACATCGCACAAGGCGAGAGGAGAGTGAAGCGGTTCGGTAGTCCAATTTTGGTTGAGACGGTTTATTCTAAATTAGGCTATGACGTCGATAGCCTTTTTCCTCTCCACACCTCCGAGAATACCGTTGATGATTCAGGGCAAAGTGGAAAAATCGACCCAGTTCACAGCATAAAGCTGACATATATCTTAACGCTGGGACCGAAATCTTGTCAAAAACCTTGTTCGTCAACCACAGCAGCATGGCCGCATGTGCGTCGTGATATTTGGCCGCACGCCGTATTTGGCCGCATTTGGCCGCACTGGGTCGTTTCTTGGAAGTCTCAGCGTCATGCGGGAAATACCGCAGACGCAGAATGGTCACGTTTGCTCCACTATGCGCTCAGGTGGGTCGCAAATGTTTGGGTCGCCGCGGTTGGGCTCTGTTTTTGACAGTATTTCAGTAATATATGCAGTTTTCTTTTTAGTTGGGATTGGAAGCCCAACCTCAGCCCGGCAAATTTGAGAGAAAATATATTGCATTTTGGAAGACCCTGTTTTTTATCTTCGGGGATAGATTCAGCCATTTTTCCGTGCCCAGTCTCCCAACCTTGTTGTTTTACTACATAGCGTTCCCGGTTACGCTATTTGACCAATGGAAAATGCCGATCAGCATGCATTCTATGAAACGGTAGGGACATTTCAGGAGGAGCCCACAGAAAAGGCCGTGAACTGCAGGACGCAACGGGCAGGTGTACTCGGAATGTGTCAGATCCCTCCGTTCCGAATTATCCTCGATGAAACGGACGATGACTTCTGACTGACTGGGGAAAATCCCGGATGACTGCTAATTGTGCTGGCTGCCTCGCCTGTCATGCTGTCTGTCATACTGGTTGTCTCGTCTGTCATACTGTCTGTCAGGCTGGCTGCTCGTCTGTCATGCTGTCTGCCATGCTGGCTGCCTCGCCTGTCATGCTGCGATCTCGACCCACGCGCAGGGAAGGTGGTGAGCATGACGACACCGCGACGAGATTGGTCAGCTGTGTGAACCTTCAGGGGCTATATAGGAACGCTTGTCGCTTGGCTGCCGTCACGGTGCGAAACGAAATGGCACACCATGGAGCTTCTGCGAAAGCATGTCAAAACGTGTGTCCCTAAGAAATCTACTCAGGGACACCATAAGCCCAGCATGCATTAGACAATTCCTGAAAGGCATAGCAGTGTTTCAATGGCGACATATTGTTGACCTTACCCTACGTTCCTGACCATGGCTGGTCACGCTCCGAAATGTCTGGAGCTTTAATGGAGATGATGCCACAGCACTTATGCTATTTTGAGGATCACGCAATTCGCCAGTCGCTACCGGAAATGGCTAGGCATTTTCCGAAGTGCCCATTTATCGAGACACGTACGGCATAGACGTACGCCAACAGCGAACGGAAATGGCTGTGTATGAGAACCGTGTATTGGAGTATAAATCGCCAACAATTCGATCAGGGAAGCTATCCCAGCGTTTACCTTTTGCTTCAGCTTTCCGAAGACCCGGATGAATGTTTCGATGAATTCTGACGGTATGACGTCAGGGTCGTACATGGTGATGCCCAGACTGAACACCACCACGCCGTGCTCACCAGAGCTCCGCATAAACTCGTCCAGATCCTGCCAAAAATACATCGCGTGAGAATCTGCTCGTGATTTCCGGTCAATATCGTTTCCAGACCAGGTTATTCAATTCGGATTTCAGTTTGACCCACCCCTCGCCAACCATGATTTGCACTCCCCGAGAATCCCTGACGTGACTTAATCCATGTGTATAACGAAAAATCAACGAACACTGACATTTCTGATCTTAAGTTCGGTCTTGCATCACCTTGTGAATACGGATGTCTGAATATCTTGGACATTCGAGGGAAAAGGCCGTAAATAAATCCTCAGCACCGAAAATAACCCCTCCACAGACTTTGCACATTGGGCCCTGTACCATGCGGTCCGCCGAGACATGCACAGGGAATCACGGGAAGTGGTTAGAAATGTTTGTCTTCCAGACCACATTGACATGCTGTGTGCTGGGTTGGTTGGAACACAACACGAATTCATTAACCCGGGCGCGGCCGAGTGTCTGAGACAACCGCGCCCGGCCGGGGGTATGTTTACTCCCCCCCCCCCACCCCCCACCCCCTCCTGGTGTTTCTGACTTCCATTTGCCGTATGAGAAAAAAGGCACCGTTTTGATTGACTCGTCAAAGCATGAAGAATATATACCAAGCTTTTGACCTTGGGCCAGATGTGAGGTCACCGGAGTTCACGAAAGGTGAAGGTTCGATAGATACAGCTAAAACCTATATTTATGCGGCTGGACGGATATTGAGAGCATGGAAATAAACGTTAAGGCTGTGGGAAGTCCATTCCAACCATTTACACTCCCCCACATGGGTGAGGTCAGATCAGGTAGGCGTTCAAAATTGCTCCTACAGGAGCCTACGAGAACGATACTTTTCTTCACAGCATGCTTCTAACTTTATATTTGTCCATGTTTGTAACAATTTTTCCAGATCAGCTGTTTCCAAACATCAGACGTCGCAAAATCCATAGGCCATCCCATCCATCAACACCGGCAAATAGCCACAAGAACACGCACACGAGGTCACCGGTGCGACGCAAAGGATCACCTTTGACAGAGGTCTGGCGGCGCGGCACTGGCTGCAGCCGATTGACCGCACGTTGGGCGGCAACAGCAGCGGCTGGGTGGAAAGGAAGTTGTTGTTCACCAGCGTGATGTCCACCGCCCGCAGCAAGGTCAGCGCGTCTGGTCCGTTCGGCAGGACCCTCCTGAAACAGCGGCGGCCGCGTCGCCGTCTTCAGTCACACGTGCGCTCGCACGCACGCGCGCGCACGCGCGCACACAAACACACACACACACACACCACACACACACACACACACACACACACACACACACACACACACACACACACACACACACACACACACACACACACACACGCACGCACGCACGCACGCACGCACGCGCACGCACACTCGCACACGCGCACTCGCACGCGCACGCGCGCGCGCACACACACACACACACACACACACACACACACACACACACACACACACACACACACACACACACACACACACCACACACACACACACACACACACACACACACACACACACACACACACACACACACACACACCACACACACACACACACACACACACATGCACACGCATACGTACACACCGCGCTGCCGCCGACCGACGCCACCCAACACACAGAGCGAGCTCAAGCAAGCTTAAACAAACAAGGTTGACAATCTCGCTCCCAGCATCGATGGCGGTCCGCTGTGCAGTAGACATCATCTATCGGGGTTCGGAGGATGGACTGCATGTTTGACCCCATCCGCAGGACTGTGCGTTCGAGGATTCCCATCAGCGTGCTTGAGGCCTCGTCGCCTCGGTCAGCCGCGGCGTGACACGTCACGGCCATGATGACCTTAGCTGTGTCATGCAAAGTTAAAACATGAGTGCTCTAGTCGCACGCATATATCGCGCAGTCGAAGGCTGAGCGTGCGTGATGTGATATGTGATACACATTAAGACTAAAAACTGCGGCTCTTAAAAACACACATTTGGGGAAGTTAGGCCGCCCGGCCCTCAGATGGCTCAGGGCTGAAACGCTCCCGTCTCCACCCAGAAATGTTAGGGATGCAGATGCCGTTTTGGGGCTCAATTCTTCCCTTACAATGGCATAGCCTAATATTAAGTTTCTGAGATGTTGTGGGTACAGCTGCATGTCCAATTGACCCTTAAGTTACACACTTACGTTACTTCCATAAGATGCGAGAGATTAACTCATGATCGTATTTGCATCACCAGTATGCAGTGACGACTTGCTACTGGTATTTAATGCGTGCCGCTGGCAGTGAATTCACTGCCTCACTCGTTTCAACGCCACAAACAGCGACATACGTCAGTTTCAAGTGCGGGGTTATCAGGGACGGCGCCACGTTTTTTTTCATTTTGAGTTGAGAGAGCGTGCTCTTCCAGCGGGCCTCCTGGACAAAATGGGGCCTCCTCACAGGGAGCCCTCCTGGTTAGTGCTGTATTCAAGGGGTGGGGATGTGCCCTCTTATAATTTTGTGATGTTCATACGTAACATATCCATGTGAATAATTGTCGTCAATTCAAAAGTCCCAGACAGATGCCTTCCCTTCAATGCAGAGGGATGCCCGATACACAAAAGGGCCTCCCAACCTTAACAGAGGGCCTCCTGCCCACATGCACTAAGCAGGCCTCTGACGCACAGAGGAGCCTCCAGAATATATGGGCAAGATAACGTGGTATCTAAGTTCCAGTCCCAAGGCAAAACTTTTAGCCAAACCCTTTGGCTTAGACTGGGTCAAGCATGCTTGATTGCCCAAGTCTTCGGCGTGTGGTCAGGAACTGCTTCTATTGGGGTAAATCAGAGTATAATGCTTCTATAACACGCTACGATAAGTGATTGTTATAAGAAATAAAGCAAACCTAAACGGTTGCATAGACGTTTGTAGAACTACATATGTTGACGACATCAAATTGTTAAAATATGTCGCAATAGACAGTGTTTTGTCGCCACCTAAGGCAATGCAACACTTTTGAAAACATGATGAGGTGGAGTCTGAAATCTTGTTAGGCATAAAGTGTCTTAATGGAGGCGCCCCACTGGTTTCCACCTCTGGCTACACCGACGCCACTGAGCGCCACCGACCTTGATATACTGGTCGGCGACGTAGTTTGAGATGTAGAAGCCGATGGCGTAGGCCAGCGCCGACAGCGTGTTGGTGATGCGCTGCAGGAAGCTCATGTGAGGCCCGAGGTCCGACAGGTTGGCGGCCACCACTGACGGCAGGTTCACCGCTGACAGCACAAAACTCTGCGGCAGCACAGACAATGCCGGTGAATGAAGTCAAAAACTGATGGGGATGACTGAATCAGGCACGTGTCGGTCAGGCGAAAACAGTCAAAAGCTAGGAAGTCAAAGAACAAAAGTTCAAACGTGAAAGAGTCAAATCGGGCTAAGTGAAAACGATGGAAGTGAAATGGATAAACGACAAACGGCAACAAGGCAAAGGGTCGATAGGTCAAATGGCAAGAAAGAGTGAAACTCGAGGAGCCAAATCGGCAAGAATAAAAAGAATGGAAGTCAAATGTATAGAAGTAAAAAGGACAGGCCAGATTGAACAGCGCAGCCCGTTTCGTTGTAGGCGGAATAAGGAGTGGTGTGCCAAGGGGAGGGGGACGTTCGTCCGCTGCCAGTGGGTAAGAACATGTCTTGCCCCCTTCTTTTAGGATTATATTGACGAAAAGTCGTACTTCTGCCGAACACGGCCTACCCGTCCCGGCGCAGAACGCCTGCCGAGTCCAAGAAGCCGACGCTGACGTTCTGAGAAACGACGATGCAATTATTTGCATTCACAATGAGACAGTGATCAGTTAGATGTGACAGAACCAGTCAGAGGGCGTGGGACCCTCCGCACCGTTCCACCCAGGAGGCACGGGTCAATAAACCGAGTTAGTGTCTCGGCACCAATTACGCACTGGACTCCCTGCACCAGTAAGGGATTCTTTTGCATTACTGACGTGTCTCTGCGTCGATCCTGAGTCAGATGCCGAGATGCCAAGGTCAGGGGGCCTGCCTCATGAGGGATGGGATCGGGGCATGATGTATCCCTCAAGTTTCTCCGGATCGACCAGGGCACCCCCGGTCCCCGTATCGCTAGAACAGCTGTTACTGGTCGCCTCGGGCTGGGGCGAAGGGCTAACCATCGGCTCCTTCAGCTCCTAACCGAATTCTCAGAACGGAATTAGCAGAATCACAAGCAACCGGCATTATACTATCGCGTCATGAGTGCGTGGTGCTGTACATGCTAAAACAATATGAAAATACTTAGACAATTGTGTACAAAATACGCATGTGTTACATATTGCGCATCGTGTATACTACGCAATACAATATTTTATACTCTGAAACAACGACGATTTGACAAGTCGGGTACGCATCATGCCTAATATTCTTGTTTTTGATGTCTAAGGCTCACCTTGTTTATTTATGGCTCGTGTCACATTCCTCAATCGGAATGCAAAGAAATTGCGTACTCCTTCAAGACGCTCAGAACATGCGGCACAATATTTGAATATTGTCATGCTAACGACACAAAGGATTTGACTCACATTTCAGGGAACCGGCCGTACGTTTTTCTTTAAAATGATATACTTATACTTATATGTTGGCATTGCATAAAAATAATTGATAAATTGCTAATATCGATATATATATATATATATATATATATATATATATATATATATATATATATATATATATATACATCAATAATTGGCATATTTGCCTTTTTAAATGTCTGGTCAAAATCTACGAATTCTAAGAGTTTTGTCGTTTTCTACTGCCATCATCCACATTTAAATATTCGCATCATGGCATGTCATTCGAGTGGCATTACGAATTAGGCAATGTTGACAACTTATTACTTCTGTGTTGAACCATTCACTGTGGGGTTTGAGTCCCTGCGGTGCCCACCCTTTCTGCCAGGATGAGAGACGGATGTTGCCATTAAGTCTTAGAAGCGTCGTAAGGCCCCAATAACGCACAAACATTCAATGTGAGATTAGCGATTTACAAAATGCAACTCGTTTCGGGCTTCGTTTTGCGTAATTTATTGGGTATTATGCTGTTGGGTATGATGCTATTGTTACTACGTGTTAAGTGTCCTTTTTAATACCAAATTACGAACCCCTAAATATTTTTAAATAATCTTTGCTTCAAACAGTGATCGGGGGTCAGAGCTTCCATGATGAGGTCTAGCAAAAAAGAAAGAAAAGCGGTGGCACAGTCAAATATACGGGGGGGGGGGGGGTGGGGAGAGACAGCCCAACATTGCGGTGGCCATGCCCCCAAGGAGACAAAAGTTCCACCCCTGGTCATGGTGTCTGATCAGAAAGTTTTGGAGCGGAGGAAAACTTGTGTACCGGAGCTCAGGTAAAAGATGATCTATCACGGCTACGTGTCTTGCCAAAGGCGGAATGATCGCGAGCTCCGGTGTGAACTAGGAGCGCACAATCCAGTAAAGATCGTCTTAAGCCAGGGCCTTCTAATCCCGAACAAGAGCCTTCCATTTCATAAAGGAGCCCTCCAGAGTCAGCACCCCCATGACACAACATCAGAGCTCCTGATCCAAAGCAGGACCTGACTCATTCATAAAGGGGCTTCCTGGTCCAGAAATGCGCCATCTTGATGCAGAAAAACTTCCTGAACCCAATTAAGGGCCTTCCAGCTCAGTGATGGGCCTCCTCGATCTCAATTTTGAAGGCATAGTATGACCGCAAAACTTTCAGCTTAGGGTAAAGTGACCTCCCAAAATGGGGTGGTGGATGCATATTCTTGTCCCCTGTCTGCCGGCAGGGGAGTCCCTTATCCCTTTATCTCTTTCGTCAAGCCCATATCCCCTTTGGGCTTTTTATATATAGCTTTTTGCCAGTTTACTTTTTGTCCTCTGACCCCTTGAATTAAGCTTTTTGTCCGGTTACCGTGTCCGAACACACTATGATAACCAGGGCTTCTGTCCAAAAAACTTTTGCAATGCATTTTATATTTTGGTCTGCTTTTATATATCTAACTTTTATTTCCTTGGATTTTTCTTAGTAGACTTTCTGCATTTAAAATTTACGCTTTTGACTTAAAGGCCGTATCTTTTGGTTTCCATAACATTACGTCTTCTTTACGTTTATCCAGTTGCCAAGTTTCTAGGTTTCGACTTTTAATTTAGTTGGCTATTTTGCATCTAGTTTTTATTGCTTGACTTTTCGTGACATTGATATTGATCCTTCTGCGTCACAACCCTAAGTAGTTTGCAATGGATGACGCTCACAAGGTATGAGCGCCTTTCACTACGGCCCCGAATGCAGCTGCGCTGGCCCACGAAATACGTGACGCTCTTTTAAGTACAGCAGTATTTTCTTTTTTGATCCAGTCCCAGCGATTTGAAGAGTTAACTGTTTGAGGCGGCCGGTTTGCCCAACTGAGCAAACAATTTTGCCCTGCACCTGTTACGGGAATATTTGCATTTCAGTCCGTGTTTTGACACAGCCACACTCCACAGCCATTGAGAGCCGTCCGCTACCTGGTGTCTGACCGGCCAAACAATGAGCCGCCTCTGAAACTGAAACCATGGGCCAGTCACGTACTGCAGATAGCCGTCTAAACCTTCTGCCGACGGCTGCACGGAAACCGGCATAAACAGAAGTGCGTGGGTAATATGCGTCCCAGGGATTGACTAATAGATCGTGAACTTGAGGTGGGTGAGAACCACGTGGTCAGCGCATCAGGAGTTAGTTTAGTTAGTTCTACCATGATCCTCTGGGGCGAAAGCACGATGCATGAGTTGGTCGTAAAGTGATTATCAAACATAACACGGGCCTCCAAATGTCCATGCTCGCTTTATTCACGCTTTACCTGACGCGCCCAATGCTCTTCTAAAAACGTTCAATGTTCTTTTTTCTCATATCTAAACATGATGCAAAGTTGTCAAGCAAAAAGCACGATAATGGTAATTACAGAAAATGCCAGAGATGCCGTGGGGATCTCCACTGACGCTTGGAATGTTAAGTCCAACAGTGTAACAAGGGTATTTTCACAGGCAAATAGTGCAACAGTGATGATTACCCACTGGAAACAGCATTGGCATCATAGGGATTTCAGTGACGCTTAAAGCTTTTGGACAGACAGCGTAATAATTGTATTACGAAGATTACTCAGAACCCCGACATTGCATGGAACGCCTAATGCTCCGGAAATGTCGGATTACATCAAACGTCCACGACATTCCACTATGATACCCTCGCCGAGGCATCTGTGCTGCACCAGCTTTTCTTAGCCGCGTTCGTTTGTTTGCATTTGTGTATTTGCTCACCGTGAGACGGCTTCACGTAGTATCGCCATTCTGAGTCTCGTGTCAGAAAAAAGTACATAAAGCGGTGGGTCAGGTGAAAACGCTCACAAACAACACAAAGCATACAAGTGGACATGCATGGTAATGTAAACAGGGTAGTGTTTATATTGCGTAGAAGTCTACACATACCATGCGGTTTGTTTTGCCTGCCTTGCAAAATACGTGCTATGCAGTCAGCCTTCACCTTATTGGCACCTCCCTGTCCTCGTATCATGAGGTTTCGGAAGTCGATGTTTAAACGCGCTTGGCACGGATAGATGCCGGCGGGTTATTAAATGCAATTACCATTAAGTAATCAAACCTCTGCCCTCCAGGCGCGGAACATATCAGAGGAGTCGCGAGTCGATCGCAATGTCTAGTAGCGTGATGGTTACTGTCATGCTTAGTAACATGGCCACGAGCGAGTGACTCGGGTTCGGATGCCATCCAATTTTCGTCTTAGAAGGGTGAGGCAGTGGCACAAGCCGTTTTGGATGTGGTGTAAAGGAGAGAGCCTTCCAGCGATAAGCTTAATTTTCGGGTAATTAGCACTCTATTTGGAAATAAGCCCCCTCAAGGTTACGTAGGTACGTCCTCAGCTTTGAGTGTGGAGACGTTACCATCGTTTTTTTTTTGTTTTTTTAGAACTGGTGGCATCTTAGTTACGTTCGGTCCCCCCTAACGACACGACATTTATGTCCAAACTCAACAGGAATCCGAGTTCCGTTCTCAGCGTCGGATTGCTGTTCCAAGCGCTTTGGCACTTCTAACCAATCCCGTCCAAGCTAGCAGCTAAATTCGTGACGTCTTATTGAAATTACTTTTCTTACTACCATTCCCTTTCTTACAGGCCAAAGCTTAGGCTGGCGCGATGGGGCGCGATGTTAGGTTTGGGCCAATCTAAGTAAGTTTAGTGTCCGATTCCACTTAAACAATCAGTGGGAGGCAGCACAAACTATGCAACATATTTTGCGCTCCAATTGGTTAACGATAACCTGAGCTGTCCAATCGACTCTAAGACGTTGTTCAGCTGCTGCACCTACCTCGGGGCCGGTGAAGCTGATGACCCAGAAGCCGACCACTGGGACGCCGAGCTTGTGCGCCAGAGCCAGCCCACACCCATTGCCCATGAGATCTATGAGGGCAACGTCGAAATGCTTCTGCTGCAGCTTATGGAACAGTTGCTGGTCGTCCAGCAGGGTTTGACAGTAGCCCTGTCGGTCAAAGTTGAAACTCGATTGGTATGCTGGGGGGGGGGGGGGGGGGGGGGCAGAGCCGCAGCCAGACTTGATAAGAAGAGGGCACCGTTACTTTGTAGGGTCCCCTGCTGGTATAGAGTACCCCTTCGAAAGATGTCACGAATTTCACGCGCATAATTACCTGACATAACGAGACCGACTGCGGAAAGCGAAGCACAACGATATGGCCAACCGCCAGATCTGGTTGAGGCCAATCTTTTGTTGTTTTCTGCTAGGTTTTTGGTTTGGAAACGGTAGAGCGGGGGGGGGGAGGGGAGGGTCGCATCGACACCCCTATCATTCCGCGTTATGAAAACCAGCAGTTTTAACGAGGGTTTACAAAGGGAGAGAACAGAGAAGAACCCGCAAATACAATGTCAAAGTAATTTTGTGTCTGGTAGGTCTACTGTCCAACATTATTTTATACAAAAAAATATCCGCATTATTGTTGTACTCACCTGGAGTACTATGACTAGGATGCCAAAACCCGGTTCTTAGCAAGAACCACGTATGAACATAGGTGAATATGCCAGAGAGAAGAGATAGATATCCTCAGAGGTGCCGGAGAAATATCCTCAGAAAACCTGAGGGAAGGGGGAGGCGTGCCTACTGCCCTCCTCCATCAGGGTGAGGGCCAATACGACTTTCAGCCGGCTCTTCGGGTCCTCTGGACCCTCCAATCGGTCCCCTTACCGTCGGTCCCGGAGACCTGAGGAGGGGACACGTGCTTACCGTCGGTCCCGGACCAAAGGAGGGGACCCGTGCTCCTGCGTCTACTGCCCGCGCCCCTGTTGGAGACCATAAGCGAATATTGCAGTATTGCGACCACGGACAGGTGCTGAACGGCTGGCAGGTTGAATCAGTCTCTCAACATGAATGTCGGGAGGGATTGTTGACTGATGAACAGTGACACCAGTGCGCCATCTCGGGCGTCTTGAGCAAGCTCGGACCGGCGGGCATGTTGTACCAGCGCCTCACCTTGAACGGCTGGAACACGTACTCACTGGCGAGCATGTTGTACCAGCGTCTCACCTTGAACATCTGGAACACGTACTGACTGGCGGGCATGTTGTACCAGCGCCGGGTGCGGCGCCACACGTCATGAACGGGTGCGCGGAACACGCCGTCCCGATCGAAGTAGGCGCCCCCGAGGCCGCGGGTGCGCGCCGGCAGGTCAATGACCTCTACCCCGCCGGTCGGCAGAGGCCGAGAGTTGGTACACTTCACCCTGGGTAGAGCAGGTAAACACGAGCGTCAACACAGCCGGTATGGGCGTACAGGCATCACAACTTCCCGTCATTTTGCGACTACCATGATAAGTTGTAGATGCGGCAAAAAGCAGCAGCGAACGAGTGCCGCGTTCGTTTCGTTTAATTCGCTGTGTTTGTTCGGTGCCGATGGCTATTTAATCATGCAGTCATTGTGCTAATTTAACTGCAGATGCGAAACAAAACGGCAAATTGTACGGCAACTGATCTTTTTCTTGTCAAGCAGACCAGAACACAGAAATCTACTTTGCGAGCCCTTCCCAAACCATACAGCACGGACTTCCCCTGTTTTGTTTACCCAACAATCATGTGACAGTGAGGAGATTATTGTTGAGTTTATCCCTGAAATTGGACGTTCCGCACGCTGTTTAACACGCGCTCGGGCGGGGGGCAAGTTGTCCACTCCGAAGGTTTTTCCAGAATGGTTTCCGAACGGCGCGGCGTAACCGCGCCAGATTTTGCATAACTGTAGACAGTTGAATAGCGGATGGTTTGGCATAAAACAAATTGAGATGTACCTTACAAGGTCGCTGACCTATGACAGGTCAAAGTCAGGCCATGGTTTAAGCGAAGGCATTTCCTAGGGAATCCTTCAATCCGATCCAACGACGGAGTGTTAGACGAAGCCATACATCTCTGAGCTGCTGTCTTGGGCAACACAACAGTTTAATGAGCAGCTTACATTGACCTAAGGTCAGGTATAAAGATCACACCAAGGTCAAAACCAACCTGCTTTGTTACTCCATGGCTTGCTGTATGAAATATTTTCTGGTACTCATTCAGAGTTTATTGATAGCAGGAAGCGCATTATACATCCTCCATAGACTTCTTAGAGGCCAGAATAAGCCATTGACCTAAAATGACCCAGGTCAACATTTTGTTTTTGAAACATACTACCTGGCGTAATTTTTGTCGATTAATCGAATGCAAAACTCAAAGCAATCTTGTATGATTTTGGTCACCTTAACTTTTAAAAGGTCAAAAAGGTCACTGGCCTTGAATGAGAATGTGACCTTTTGCTTAGACACGGTTACCTAGATTCTAGGGGCACTTTGGAGACCAACCTGGATCTTGACCTTGTTTGACCTTTTTTGACCCAAAAGTCATGACTTAGGTGCCTGAAACTTTGACCTAAGTGAGTTTACGTACAGGTTAACACACCCTGTAAATTTGGTGTCTCTAGCTTTCTTAGTTCCTCAGATCTCAGGGGGTCAAATTGCCCCCCCCCCCCCCCCCACCCGAGCGGAGGGTGTCTAGCCGGCCACCCGGACGCGTGTTAAAGGGAACATACCACCTTTTTTACTTTTAGTTTATCGTTAGATCAGAGACGTCCGATATGATCCGTAATAACAGTTATCTCGAAATCCCTCCGAATAGCCCAGGGTTCTGATCTGAAGTAGCCGCTCCTGCGGTGGAAATCTCATAGGAATGCATGCTCATCACTATGAGAACAATGGATTTAATTTGTCTTGCTTTTCCGACCTGTGTGCCATGTAGTGTTTACAACACACTAGTTCATTAAAAAGATGTCAAATATGTGCCATTAAAGTTTGAGACCCTTTTTTAGAAAACAAAGATGAGCAAACATGAGGCTTTTGTCTGGCGAATGCAACGGAACGCTATACTATAGTTTTGATTTCTCGTCTGTGGCGTTTAGCACAGTGGCTCTTTTCGAAACGCACTATGACTCTGGGAAACGGAGTAACACATGGCCTATACTAACACATTGGTTCAAACTTTAACTGATGCGCTTCTCGGGAACTGGCCTCGCCGCCCACTGCGCCAATCACAAACAGTCATTTGTACTGACGTCATCTCTACCAGTACAGGTGCCACCTTTTAGCCCACAAACCCACGCTAAAACACCTCAAGAGTGGCACCTCTGGCCCGTAACAGCTGACAGCGGTCCTCACCACATTCATCCTTCGTGATGACGACGGCGTTCGCGACAACTGCACTTGTCACGGGGGTCGGGATACATTCTGGGTTTACGAACAGAGGAAGAACTGTAGTGTTAGTACAAAGCGTTGACAGCGTAATTTAGACTCGAAAATGATGGAAATTTATATCCTCATCGTTTCTGAGGGTGCTGCAGTGGCATTATCCATTGTGCTATTATTAGGTATAATGGTCCTGAAGTTTCACCAGTATATGTGCTTAAAATGTGCTCTAAGGGTGGGACACTTCCGTTAATATACTTACCCGTGGAAAATATCGAGAGCAGTTCATGAGTTGTCCAAGAGTTAGTTATTCCTCCGGAGAAGCAATGAGCGCCGCAAAAAGACACGGGCCGAACCATTTTGAAATTAGTTCTTCTCAAGTATTGCTATAATGTACACTTCAGCTTTTTGAGGAGTGCACGACTTCAAAAACCATCGTCACCTTTCTAGGGAAGTGTGTGCGTCATGTTTCTTCACCAGACTCCGTCCTTGCGTCCGTGGTGTGTCGAACGAATGCCAGACACTCGTAATAGCGAGTGCGCCAGGTACCCTCAGCTCTACGAGTGAGTGCTTTCAGCGAGTGCTCTCAGCTCTACCATGCGAGCGCTCGAAGTGCTCCACCCTGCGATGCGCGACATGACGACGCGTGCTTGAAGCCCGTCCATTGCCTTGGAATCACTAAGGAGCTTCGCCGCAGGTCAAAATTGCCGACTTCCAAGTCGCGATGAGGTCGGATCAAGACTCCTGGACCGACTGAACGACCTGATCTCGAGTGATGCACAGGACTGGGACAGTCAGGAAATGCTAGACGCTGGCGCTGGGACAGCTAAGAGATGCTAGGCGCTGGCGCGGGATGGCTAGGAGATGTTACAGACCAGCGGGACTGGGACAGGGAGCCTCAGTGCAGCTGGGTGACACCAGTGGGACTAGGACAGGGCGCCTCAGTGCAGCTGGGTGACACCAGCGGGACTGGGACGGGGCGCCTCAGTGCAGCTGGGTGACATCAGCGGGACTAGGACAGGGCGCCTCAGTGCAGCTGGGTGACACCAGCGGGACTGAGACGGGGCGCCTCAGTGCAGCTGGGTGACATCAGCGGGACTGAGACGGGGCGCCTCAGTGCAGCTGGGTGACACCAGCGGGACTAGGACAGGGCGCCTCAGTGCAGCTGGGTGACACCAGCGGGACTGAGACGGGGCGCCTCAGTGCAGCTGGGCGACACCAGTGGGACTGGGACGGGGCGCCTCAGTGCAGCTGGGTGACACCAGCGGGACTGGGACGGGGCGCCTCAGTGCAGCTGGGTGACATCAGCGGGACTAGGACAGGGCGCCTCAGTGCAGCTGGGTGACACCAGCGGGACTAGGACAGGGCGCCTCAGTGCAGCTGGGTGACACCAGTGGGACTGGGACAGGGCGCCTCAGTGCAGCTGGGTGACACCAGCGGGACTGAGACGGGGCGCCTCAGTGCAGCTGGGTGACACCAGCGGGACTAGGACAGGGCGCCTCAGTGCAGCTGGGGTGACACCAGCGGGACTAGGACGGGGGTGCCTCAGTGCAGCTGGGTGACACCAGCGGGACTGAGACGGGCGCCTCAAGTGCAGCTGGGTGACACCAGCGGGGAGCTAGGACAGGTCGCCTCAGTGCAGCTGGGTGACACCAGCGGGACTAGGACGGGGCGCCTCAGTGCAGCTGGGTGACACCAGCGGGACTAGGACAGGGCGGCCTCAGTGCAGCTGGGTGACACCAGCGGGACTGAGACGGGCGCCTCAGTGCAGCTGGGTGACACCAGCAGGACTGGGACAGGGCGCCTCAGTGCAGCTGGGTGACATCAGCGGGACTAGGACGGGGCGCCTCAGTGCAGCTGGGTGAACAACCAGCGGGACTGAGACGGGCGCCTCAGTGCAGCTGGGTGACACCAGCGGGACTAGGACAGGGCGCCTCAGTGCAGCTGGGTGACACCAGCGGGACTGGGACGGGGCGCCTCAGTGCAGCTGGGTGACACCAGCGGGACTGGACGGGCGCCTCAGTGCAGCTGGGTGACACCAGCGGGACTGAGGACAGGGCGCCTCAGTGCAGCTGGGTGACACCAGCGGGACTGAGACGGGGCGCCTCAGTGCAGCTGGGTGACACCAGCGGGACTGAGACGGGGCGCCTCAGTGCAGCTGGGTGACACCAGCAGGCTGGGACAGAGCACATCACCACATCTGGGTGGCAGTACCAGGACCAGGCCAGTGCTTACCGCAGCTGGGTGACGTTGTGACCCCGCTCGGCCAGCTGTTGCCCCAGGTCATTCAGCACTAGTTCGTGGCTGCTGGTGCCCAGGTGTTGCAACATCAGGATCCGGTGCCCGCGCAGCGGAGCTGGCAGCAGCAGCAGCAGCAGCGGCAAGAGCCGAGGGAGCAGCGGCGCCCGTGGGGGATGGCATGCTCACGGCCAACCTTCAGACACGGAGCACATTGCGCACGTCAAGCTCCGTAGCAGGGTGCATAGTACACACACAAATGACATCTGCTGCGCATGTTGAGGCTACGCACTCAGTTTCATGCGTTGAAAATTGCACTTTGCTTATGTTGAGTCCGAGGCAAGCTTCTAGTACGTGCCAGCCCCACCTCCACCCTTCAATGCCTCGAACAAAGCTCATTGTTATTTATGCGCAACACAGCTGTTGAGCTGCTCCTTTTGGGTTTTTCAGTTACATGATAACTCGGAACATTGATTTATCTGCATAAGGTAAACAATGCCAAAAAAGCACGGTGTTTCTCATGACTATGCATAAGACACGTGCAGAACAGATACACAGAACAGGCAACACAACGGGCCTCCAGAACGGATGCACAGACATACAGGCATACAAACACACAGACGCAGATATATATGTGTGGCACAGTCTTTTGCTTTTCTCACACTGGTCATTGTTGATCTAAAATGCAGCAAGTCATACCTCAATAGACGCCTTTCCACTCCACCAAGACAGAAATGACAGCGACACCTGACTCACCGACGGCAGTGCCTACGAGCGAGTCATGACTCGCCCGCCTCTGGGCGCGCAGGCCGTCGACTCTCGACTCGCCGGCTGCTTTATAGACGGCGGCACGCTGCCGCCAATCGGTGGATCTCAGGAGTGCGGCGCGCGGCGAGGGCCGGGCCCGGCGGACCGCGCGCCCCCTGACGGTCGGCGCCAGGCGCCGCCCTCCGTTGTGATAGTGCAGACGCTCCTATACTGTGATGTCGGGGGGCACTTCAGGGCGACTTCACGCCGAGCCGGTAGCCGCAGGTGCTTCAGACCACCGGAGCAATGCCGGGAGTTGGAGCACGCGCACAAGGCACCAGGCAACGGTGTCAGTTTGCATTCGTTTATGAGGACTCTGACCGTCCAGGGTTGATTAAGGTCATCCAGTATTGGGATCAGCTCGCCATTTTTTTTTTTTTGGCTTCGCTGAAATGTCAGACAATCTAAAGAAAGGCTAAATCATATGCAAATCTTTCCTTCTTTGTGCATCCCGTGATGGTCACACCCAATGAGCTGCCCAAATAAAGAACTGCTCGACAAATGAATAAAAACTGAGATTAAAATCTGCCGTTTATAAAAATCAAATCGGCTGAAACCGTTGAGAAACACGCATATGTCGAAGGTGAAGCTGGGTTGTCGCGCATTCGCCTCCACCCCCAAATGATTTACCAAAATTCGCTTCCCTGGTACCAGGGTTCCTTGCCTTGACCGGTGCGTTCTGTTGGGCATACCGATTGTGAAGCAATAAATTTATCAAGAAGAGGTAACCTGACAACAGCGAGGCTCGCAGACTCTCCGAAAATATTGCTTGTGGAATTACACTTGCATCAGACGGAATCACGAACAGTTCTTTGAACGACCAGTCGGAATAAGCGAGCTGGAAACATGAAGAACTTGATTTGTCCTTTTCCGACTCGAGCTTCGATTATGAGCGCAAACAAACAGCGTATCTACACTGCTTCGGACGCCTTGGGGCATAGTTCGCACAAAATAAAGTAAAGAAGACAAACGTTAATGACGCCATTTGGACGCGGACGCAGTTTATCAGCTGACGCAGTTTGCGCTTGTTGCGTAATCGGCCGCCGCTGGCCGCCAGCGTGCCTGAATCTCACGTAGATCACGGTCGGGGCGGGGAGCCAGGCGGGCCCGGCACCGGGCGACACGGCGCCGGCCTTGGCAGGCGCGAAAGCGGCCTTTGGTCACCGACAGCGGCGCCAACAGCACGGGTCGAACGTGGACGACGACGTCTGAAGGCTGAAACCAGCATTTCAAGATTTCAGCGAGGAGGAGAAACAGGGTAAGTGCACCTTTCATTACTATGCGCACGGCCGTATGTTTCATGGAGCACATAACACACAAGCCTCTATGCTTGAGTGAATGTAAACGCTGCACGATTTCAAAGTTCTCTTCATCGTTTTGAAATTCCTCGCCGTTGGAGTTATTGAACGCAAATGCTGTGATGTCACGATATTTGTCTGGTCAAATAGGCTCATCCATTGCATAAGCGTAGGAACATTTCAAAAAGTGTGCGGGGAAGTCTCAGGATATACTTTTGCTGGAAAGGAGGCCGGGTGGCCGGAGGAGGGAATGAAAATGGAGGGCATTGTCCGCTCTTAATTCACGTAGCACACATAACGCACTTTGGAAGCAATTAAATGGCATGATTGCTATGATAGATGTGCACCTACGACTGTTTCCACTGGTTGCCTATTCAGCTCGTCTATGCCATTTAGCAAGTAATCCAGCCATCCAGTATCAGACCATCCAGCTTCCTGAGATTACTCGTCCTTTTAAACAATGTTTTCCCAGAGGAAGTGAAAATTCACGGGAGGGTAGCCAAAATGGGTTATTGGGAGGGCATCTGCCACCACAGGGTAGGTGCTAAAATCCGATCCAGGCACACTTAAATCAGAATTTAGAATGCGAGCCATGGCTCGTAGTGCGTCAGAGTTCTTATGTGGCCAAATTTCGCCGGATTTTTTCAAGATCTAAGATGTTTCGAAGCATTTAAGTCGGAGAAAATTTGAAAGTTTCAGATGCTAACAGACAAAAACGGTGTTACGAAAACCATCAAATTTTTATGCTAATTTTTATATATGTAAATAAATAATGTATATAATATATGTAATAAAGTAAATAAAATAAAATAATATATGTAATTAAATGTAAAAAAATATTATAAATAGTAAATTTTACATACAGGAGTTTCTCCTGTAAAAACCAAGTCACAGAATGAAGGCTCTTCTTTCAGATATTCCTCATCTGAGCCCCGTCCCGGCCTGCCGTCGGCGGTTTCTGCCCTAGTCCAGCTGTCCCCGCATAGCTGACTACAAGCTGATCGCATGCTTAATTTATTGCATGTTTATAGGTACGCAACACTACTTATTGGTCGGCAAAGCATAGATTAGTAACCTGCTACAGTCTCTATTTTCGGGTTACCTTCCCTTACATTATACCACAGCAGAAAACAAGCTTTCGGAAAGCTACCCGCCTTAGGCATGAATTTGCCCACCGGACATTCATTTGCCCCTCACTCTACGTAGTCGACTTGATATGCTTTTGTATGTAGGCAGAAACGAAGCCAAAGCCTTGCCAAGGAGAGTAGAGCGTTGACAAAAGCCCCGTGACGGTGACCCCTCAAGAAAGCCTTCGTATATAGCTCACTTGTTAACGAGCCTTGTCGAGGGAGCACAGGTTTGACAAAGGCCCCATTATGGTGAAAGGTCCCCCTTCCAACACAAAATTGCCGGATATAGCTCACTTTCTAACGAGGGGCACTTCCTGTCATTGCTATTTTTACATTGTAACCAGAAGAGTGTTTGTGAAGTGAAATCAAGGTTTTGTGGATTCAAAGTTGGGAATTTTGTAAATTTAAAGAAGTGGATTCAAAAATTAGAAACCACTTCTGCTCTTTGTTTCGATAAAGGCATGCTGCCGCAATATCTGCGCATCTATGTCCCATTATTCTGGTTTTTCTACGAGGAATAAGGCTAATACTACTGTCTTATCTATGTGAATTATGTTCTTCGCAAATGCACTTAACTTACGTTCCTCAGGACGAGCTGCATGTGTGGTAAGTATGTTCAAATAGAGTGTCGTCCAAGCATCTACCAGTTTTCTGACGCCGGACTTTTTCATCAGGTATTGGTGAGGACGAACGTATAAAACGTTCAACATGGTGTATGCGAATGTTTTGGTCACAGTTCGCGCAGCTATTTTAATATTGGCCTTCATATAGGTGCGCATCTTCTCCAGTAGTTGATAGGAGCGCAAGCCATGTCCCTAGTACGAAACGGGTTCCGGATAACAGTGGTTGTGACGTAGTCACCAGGCCGTGTTTTTGCATGATACTTATGTTATTGCGACCGGGTAATAACACATTTCCCCTAACGGTTAGCCGTTCCTACTGGAGGACTGTCCAACCTAAATACCATCGAATATTTTTGCTTGCAAAAAGATAAAGCGTTCCAAGACTTGGATTTTTCGTGATGACAATCGGCTGAAATGGTCGCTCTGTCACCGCCCTGCATCCAGCTTCAAGCACGAGTACAGAGCTGGACACGCACCACCGTCTGCTGGGTGGCTTTTCTGCAGATCAGGAGTGCAGAACAGAAAAGACAGCTTGGCATAACACAGGACATTATCAGACCCAGCCAAGCATGATGGTTAAGGCCAACCCGTCCCTGAGCGCACCTGAGCAGAGAAGAACAGAATATATAAGAACAGAACGTGTTAATTGTACGCATCAAGGATTAGGTGTGCATGCCTTGATATCCAGTTCGGTAAGGCCGTTTACATGCGTTGAACCGCCTGGTTTTCTGCGACGATGGAACATTGAATATCAGTGATGAGAGGAATCATTGGATGTCTCCTGTACAGGTGCACACAGCCGTCCACCTGAGCAATGCGTTTGCTCGTGGATACCATGCAGCCGTATGTAAATGCACAGCCAACGAATATGGCGGCCCCCGCCTCGCGAGTGGCGGTGGTCAATGCACCGGCGGCCCGCGGCGTCGCTGCGTTGCGGTACAGCCTATGCATCGACAGCCGGTCCTCCCCAGTAAGCCTGGGTCCACCCTTGTTTGGCGGCACAGTCTATGCATACGGCAGCTGAGCTTCCCCACGTCGTGAAACGGGTGGGGAGGCGGGTGGTTACTCAGGTACCGACATGGTTCTAATGCTCCGTCGATCCCGTACATGACTTGGCAAATGACTTCATACATTTCAGGCGTGGAAACTAGGACGCCGTGCTGGTCATGTCTTCCCACTTTTCGTGAACGCTTAACCCTCGCCGTGATTGGTCATTTTTCATAACGTGCATTGATAGGGAGGGGATCGATGCGAACCCCGCTGTTTCCAGACCAAGAGCGTCAGAGCCTCGCGAAAAAGCAACGCTGGATTGGTCTCAACGAGACCTTGCGGTTGGCAACACATTTTATGTTCCTAGGTCAATAATTGATCCATTATGCCAGGTAAAAATACAATTTCCCCCCAAATCGCAGTTTGTCAGCTTTACACGCCCATCATTGCGAAACCATGGCACATAGCGACATGAAACTTATAGAGGCATGTTGCTTGTTTAATTATGACCACATTAATGCACCTAATGTGCATTGAGGTTACAGTCATGATGTAGGGTTCTGTTAATGTTACAGTGTCGACCCGCGGCGCACGGTCAGCGAACTGGCCGGTTGCCGCCCGCCGCCGGCCGCCCGCGCCGGCCGTGGATTACTCTGCTCTGTGCCTAAAAACCCGTCACTACTAGAAAACCAGATGGGCTAGGAACAAGTTTTTGGTGTCAAAACACGCGCAGTAAATGCCTTCAAAGGCTGTCGAAATTTGAACACGATTGTACAACATGGCGGAGAGACGTCCTCAGAAATAATGTGGGGCTCGCATCGACCTCCCCTGTCAGTTGGTTAGATATTAGGTTGTAAGGGCGAATCAGCTGCCACGGTTATTTGCGTCCACTCGCCACTCAGGACAAAGGTGAAACATGACCAAACTGTGCTGTGCGGCGGGCATTATCGGTGTGGTGCCGTGAAGTTAATTGGGCTGGGTGACCAAGGAGCACATCTTTCCCAAAATTTGAGAAACATTTTGAGGGTATTCGTGACCAGCTCAATAGGCGATACAACCTTCGAAGGGGAAGCGAGTAAGGCTTCTGCAGAAATATGAAAATGTGTGCCAAACGCGGCAAGAACCGACTGACTCGTTGGAGGCAGACCGTTTTGCGATGTTACCAAGGCCTTGTGTTCTGTGCCCATTGTGCAGGATGTGCAAAACGAAGACACACACGTAATGCTGAAAAAATCACCTATGCTGAAATTAACGGACTTACTTGAAGGTACTAGTTCGATACAGATATCAGACAAACATTGGGATACATGATGAGAATGCTCGACGTTTTCAGCTGTGCTCATGGTCAAGGGCGACCGACGTGACTATATGATACTTATCACTTATATGACAGTTATCAAACGAGTGTTGAATCGAATCATTACACTGTATGATTACGTCATATCACAATCGCACCAAACTATAAGGCATTGCAGGTAATTATACCACGTGCACAGAAGGCATTTTATAATGCAAGGGCATTAGAGCGTCCCAAAATTTGTCGGCCCAAACACCAGTGACTCATGGACTGACAAAGGTCAGATGCTTTCAACCAAGAATAATTAGGGTCCCTGTTCCCTTGACGACATCCTGGATGCCTCCCTGCAAGCATCTCCTTAAACTCACGGCACCAGAACGGGGCCACTTTTCAAGGGCACGGATCACGCGGTTTCCGTACGCTAGCCCCCAACAGACCCACCACATGCCCTGTCGACGTATCCACGTGTGCCGGGTCCGACAGCGGCGGTGATGGCGCGTGACCCGGGCCGGCTCTACCACACCGGCCTGCTCTGGAGCCTGGTGCTGGGCGCGTGTGCCGCGCGGAACGTGCTGCTGGTGCAGATGGTGGGCACCGGCAGCCATGAGTTCGTCATGCGTCGGCTGGGCGAGCAGCTGGTGCAGCGCGGACACCGCGTCACCCAGATCAGGTCAGAGCGGGTCAGGTCAGGGTAGGTCAGGTGGGCGGCCAGGCGCAGAGGTCAGGTCGGTCCTGTGCAGCGTGACACATCACCCAGGTCAGGTCTGTGGAGGGTGTGGACTGAGGTCACATCTGTGGACGGTGAAGACTGAGGCCAGGCCAGTGGCGCGCCGGAGTGGGAATACCGGAGGTCAGGCCTTACCGACGTGCTCCAGGTTAGCTGCCGAGTCTGGGTGTCTGCCTGATGCCATGCTGTCAGGACCTGATGCACTTTGGAGTCTTGTGGAGCTTAAATTTGACAACGGTCTTAGCCTGGCCTCGACTCGTATGGCTCTTGCCAGGTGACAGGTGTTGTTTGAGTGATAATGCGCGTGGATCTAAATAGCATACATTTGAAATTCATATTGCGATGTCAATGTCCTGCATGTTAAGGCAGCAAGCACATCAACTGCATGACATTCATCCGCTTGACTCCCCACGTCAAAACGACGCGAACAGACCCCCAGCTCCTTGCCTCTTCGTATTTCCCTGACGTCGGCGAGCGTTTCCCTCTCGCCGGCAGATGGCTGCACGCCTTCAGCGACCTCGTGCCGGCCAACTCCAGCGTGGAGATCATCAGCCGCCGCGTCAAAAACGCCGCGCTACGTCACCGGCGCTTCGACGCGGCCGGCGTGTTCCAGCCGGTCTCCAGCGGCGCCTGGCGCGGCGCCAGCTCGCTGGGCGTGGCGCTCGACCTAGCCCAGCAGCCGCACACCTACTGCGAAGATCTGTTGGGCGACCAGCGCCTCCTGCGCCGCATGCGCCGCCGGCGGTTCGACGTGGCCATCGTCGACGTGTACTGCAACGTGTGCGGCGTGGCGTTCGCGCGCGCGCTGCGGCTGCCCGTCGTCGGGCTGTACGTTGTCAGCGTCGTCGGCAGCGAGCAGGCACGTGACTTGAGCTGGCTGGAAGGGGGGGGAGGGAGGGAGGGCACGGGGGGCTATGTTCCTCTTAGACCAAGGGGTTTACGGTATATTTTGGGCGATTTCGCATGAAGCCTGTCCGAATTCACAGGAGCTCGAAAAATGCGACCTTTGACCCCGCCCCAAAGACAACGTCGGATACGATCCCGGTGGAGGCGCCACTGGCTGCTAGCCGCTGTGCTGGCGACTACGGCAACGGGACTGGGAGATCTGTCGACTGACTGGGAAAACGACGCAGTTATTGCCGCCTAGACACATGTCGCGTGAAAACGACAAAGTTGGACAGGGTGGGCAGCACAGCTTTCCAGAACACACATAGCAGACTGAGCTCAGGGAGTTGAGCTGAGGCATTTAGGGAAATAGATTGGATAGCGGCAGATAGGCTGGTGACTGCCGAGAGCTGGCCATGGATAAGAGCAAGACACTGTTAACTTTGGCTTGTACGTCTTTGACGCCGCTTTTTCAAGCTCGATGCATGTCACAAGTAAAGCTTATATTATCAGGTATGGCAACCAGTTTCAATGCCATGGAGACATGGCATGGGTTCGTCCGTGGATTATCGGGTAGGACTGTACAGGTGGAGGAATGGGCACACCATGGCTACGCTTCGAGTGGTAGGGCCGAGTTCTATTGCGTGAAACGATGTTGGTGCGCCGAAAGGGTCGACGTGTTGATGGGCGTGAAACTTTTCGTACCCAGGCGCGTCAACACTGGAATGAGAACAACTCTCAGACCAGCTACATTCCGAAAAGTCGGCGGAACAAAGCAACAGACGCCTCAGATGCAACAGTTTTTAGGCAGAGTCAAAAGACAATAGTTTTGACTACAGAGCACGCACGCGACATGTTTATAATACGAGACCGCAAAAAAGTCCCAAAGAGGTCTTTCCGGGCCGCTTGCGCTGACCGGACCGGCTTTCAGAGCAACCTGATGGGTCTGGTGAACATGCCGTCGGCGGTGGTGGCCCAGTTTACCGGCCTGACGCCGCCCATGAGTCTGCTGCAGCGACTGCACAACGCTTTCGTCATCCTCGGCTTCAAGCTGGTTTCTCGCTACCTTCTCGCCGTCTCCGACATTTACGTGCAGGTCAGCGGCTGTGATCAGAGCGTAACTTAGCACGCGCCCGGGTGGCCGGTTGGATACCTTTCGCTCGGGTGGGGGGGTCAAGTTTACCACCCTACGAGATCTTGGAAACTAAGAAAGCTAGAGACACCAAATTCACGGGGTGTGTCGACCTGTACATGAACTCACTTACATCAAAGTTTGAGGTTCCTAGGTCATGACCTCGGGATTAAATAAGGTAAAAAAGGTCAAACTCCAGGATGGTCTCCAAAGAGCCCACAGAACCTAGATAACTGCTTCTAAGCAAAAGGTCACATGCCCATTTAAGTTCGGTGACCTTGTTTGACCTTTTGAAGGCCATGGTGACCAAAATCATACAAGATTACTCTGAGTTTTACATTTGAATAAGCGACAGAGATTACGCTAGGCACTATGTTCCTAAAAACAAAATGTTGACAAGGGTCATTTTAGGTCAATGACCTTTTCTGACGTCTAAGAAGTTCATGGAAGATGTAGATGTAGAACTGCAGTTCCTGCTATCAATAGATTAAAAATGTGCATCAGAAAGTATTCCATTCAGCAAACCCTAGGGTAACAAAGCAGACCGGTTTCGACCCTGGTCTGACCGTCATACCCGACCTTAGGTCAATGTGATTTGCTTATTCAATTGTTGAGTTGACTAAGAAAGCATTTCAGAGATGTATGGCTTCGTCTGATACTCCGTTGTTGCATTAGATTGAACGATTCCCTATAAATTGACTTCGCTGAAACCATGGCCTGGCTTTGACCCGCAATAGGTCAGCAACCTTGCAGAGTACACTTCAATTTCCCTATGTCAGACGATCCGCTATTAAATTGACTACAGCTATGCAAAATTTGGCGCCACTACGCCACGCCGTTCGGAGACCATCTGGAAAACCTTCGGGAGGGGGAGTCAATTTGACCCCCGCCCGAGCGCGTGTTAAAGGGAATGCTCCGCATTTGAAGGTGTTGTAGAAAACACCAGATGTGATGGAATAATCTCAGTTGTAACTATTGGTATAATTAACACGCGCCCGGGTAGCCGGCTAGATACACTTCGCCCGCGTGGGGGTCAATTTGACCCCCACTGAGATCTCAAGAACTAAGAAAGCTAGAAACACCAAATTTGCAGGGTGTGTTGACCTGTAGGTGAACTCTTTTAGGTCAAAGTTTGAGATTCCTCGGTCATGACTTTCAGGTCAAATAAGGTCGTACAAGGTCAAATTCTAGTTTGGTGTCCTTTCCTTACAAGGTACATCTAAATTTGTCATGTCAAACGATCCGCTATTCCATTGTCTGTAGCTATGGATAATTTGGCGCGGCTACGCCGCGTCGTTCGGGAACCATTTTGGAAAAAAACCTTCAGGGGCCAACTTGACATCCACCCGAGCGCATCTTAAGTGGAAAAGGGAAAAGACTGCTCTTGACGACGCAATTTCTCTTTTTAGTAACTCTGTTTCTCAATATGTCCTTGTTTGTGCCATCGCACCTTGCGCATCGTTAATTAAGCGCCAGCTGACGCCGCTATATCTGGAAATCGTGTTCACAAACGCCAGATATAAACGACTCGGCGATTATATTTTCTGAACCTTGATCGCCGCATGGCCAGCGGAATGGCAGGATTTAAATGACATGATAATAGTGTCATGGGTGCCTGGGTGACCTTGAAATAATCTGCACATCTTCGTGTGCGTGTAGCTCAGAAACTTGAGTGGTTTAGGTCTTAAGAAGGGCAGGGCTGTGAGATGCACTAAATAACATTCAAGATCGCTATTGCAGTCCAAAACCCCAAACAAATGTTGGGCACTCCTTTTAAAGTGTGCAGAAAAGAAATATTATCGTTATGCTTGTAATGCGAGCAGTTGAAGGTTAAGCGTCAGGAGACGTGCCTTTAAATGTAACGCATTTGTACGTAATCCTTGGTAGAAAGTATCTGACCGCGTATCGCATCTTCAATCACCGCCAGAGCGCATTTACGGGCACTTCTAATGCGTGTCCGGGTGCACTTAAAATAGAGGGCTGTTAGTTAGAAGAGAGCGCATCTGTCCCTCGTGGTCTTGCAATTTCTCCGGGGGCTGCTGTCATCCAGTTCGCACCGAAGTACGCTTGTAGCATTACCACTCTACGGCGTGCTTCTCCGACTGGTCCATAAAGTTTACGTGTTGACCTTATTTCTATCGCGCGATTTTTGATTAACCCGGCACCAAAAAAGGTCGTTTAATTATCTTGCGCCGATCCATTAACCATCGCTTTGTTTATAGAAGCCAGAATCTCACAGCGTACTGCGTCAAAGTTTTCAGACACAGCACGCCGCGAATTTTCCGACTTTCGAGACATGCTGAATGGTCCGAGTATTTCAATCAGTAACGCCCCGGCTCTAAAATCGAAAGGTCGTGCGTTCGAAGCCGGGACGTGGTAGAATTATTCTATTAGTTCCCTAAAGAATATGTTGCATTGTTTCCTAACAGCCAACACATTCTGACAGCGGGATGCAATACAAGTCCTTGAATTCCTTACACTGAACATAACATTCATTTAAATCTTAAACGCATTCGCTTCTGTATCATACGCACCTCTCTGCGTTCAGTTACCGATCGCGAAATGTATAGCTTACACTAGGCAACGTGGCCTGCATTGCACACCTAGGTTGTATTTAGCTTTATACTTCAATCTATGTACTGAACGTCATTCTATCGGCATCTACTGCCCTGGCCGTTGTCAATGTATCTAAGTTTTCGTTAGTTTGAAATGGCGATCACGAAAAATGACGATGCGTCGAAATCAGTCAAATTCAATGGTTGAGACATGGTCAGGGTCAATTACTGCTACTCGAACATCTCAGTGGTATATTTATTTTAACCGTGAGCACAACTGTCAATTAAGTGGGAATATTCATGTGATGTTTCTAAGGCGTCATACGTGTCTGGTTAATTTTCAAATAGGCGGCGAGGAATAAGCTACACAAATTTGCGTGTTTCAAGCTCAGAAACGAAAAAAGTTTAAATTACTAAAAATGGCATGGCTGGGAGCCGCAGGAAATGATCTTGAAAATAGCTAAATCAGTTAAAAATCCCAGACGAATGTGGAACAGTCCGCTTACATAAATCCATTACTCGCGTGACGAATAGCACCTCATGCGTTTCCGAAACGCCTGGCTTGAACTTTCGCGTACATCATTAGCAATCCTGAGGCTAAAACAACGGTCATTTTGTATGCCATGCAATCGGGGTGTTTATGTGCAAGTTGTAGCTTACATGTGTACTATGTGTAATCCGGGTCCCACACCAGCCATGATATTACAACCCCAAGCACATTCGAGGAGATATGTGCACACCTCACTCATTGTGAAATGACACCGCTATGCTGCCTGTTTTTCCATCTCATGATGAATATAAAGAGCTACCTTCTGGTCCTTGTCCCACATCGATGCGTTCGCTGAGAAGCTGTCACTCTCTCCTGCGCAGAAGTACCACCCGGAGCTGCCGACCAGTGCCAGCCTGATGCGAAACCTGGACATGGCGCTGTACAACTCCAACTTCCTGGTCACCCAGCCGCTGCTGCTGCCGCCTAACATGCAGGCCATTGGCTGTGTCCAGTGCACCCCTCCTCGACCTCTGCCTCAGGTGAGGATGGCTGTTTCCAGTGCACCCCTCCGCGACCTCTGCCTCAGGTGAGGATGGCTGTTTCCAGTGCACCCCTCCGCGACCTCTCCCTCAGGTGAGGATGGCTGTTTCCAGTGCACCCCTCCCCGACCTCTGCCTCGGGTGAGGATGGCTGTTTCCAGTGCACCCCTCCCCGACCTCTGCCTCAGGTGAGGATGGCTGTGTCCAGTGCACCCCTCCCCGACCTCTGCCTCGGGCGAGGATTATAAGTGGTCCCCCAGCCGCTGCTGCTGACGCCCAAAACGCAGGCCAATGACTGTGTCCATTAGACCCCTTCCCGACCTTCGCCTTAGGTGAGGATGGCTGTGTTCAGAGCACCCCTCCGCGACCTCTGCCTCGGGTGAGGATGGCTGTTTCCAGTGCACCCCTCCGCGACCTCTCCCTCGGGTGAGGATGGCTGTGTCCAGTGCACCCCTCCGCGACCTCTCCCTCGGGTGAGGATGGCTGTGTTCAGAGCACCCCTCCCCAGCCTCTGCATCAGGTGAGGATTGTAAATGAACATGGATTGTTGTCAGACTTCAGCGAGATCCAATGAGCCTTAAAATGTGCATGGGATTTGTGCCAGGTCTGCTTGATGCGGATCCCTGTTTTGTCTAACTCTTGCATCAGGCGGAGACCCGCTGCCATTGAAGTTCGCAATTTTGTCACTTCCAGAATCTGGAGACGTTCTTCAAGAGCTCTGGGGAGCACGGCGTCATTATCTTCTGCATGGGCATCACACTGTATGACCCGGAGCTGATTCCCGTCCGGTTTATTGAAAGATTCATGAGGATCTTCTCCAGACTGGAGCAAAAGGTCTTGGCTACCTAGCACATGCACGCCAGTGCGCAGCTTTTTGGCATTATTTAAGCAATAATAGGAAACATTCCAAGCGTGAACAAAAAACAGCATCTAATCCTGCTCCCCACCACTGAATGTGTAATGCCAGATACTGCATCCAAAACAAATGACTGCCGCAAATGTCATCGGAGCATAATCTTTTTCAATTCGAGCATTTCACTGTCAGCAATATTGCCTTTTCATAATTGCCTGAGAGCATCGCACGCCCTCAACAAGAGCACGCTGGTCGGCATGCAGGTAGGTAACGGTAAGCAAGCTGGTCAGCACGCTGGTCAGCATGCTGCGTCCACTTGGCAGGTGGTGATGCGCACGCTGGCTAGCATGCTGCGTCCACGTGACACGTGGTGACGCGCACGTGGTCAGCATGCAGCGTCCACTTGACACGTGGTGACGCGCACGCTGGCCAGCATGCTACGTCCACTTGGCAGGTGGTGATGCGCACACTGGTCAGCATGCTACGTCCACTTGGCAGGTGGTGACGCGCACGCTGGTCAGCATGCTACGTCCACTTGACAGGTGGTGGCGCGCACGCTGGTCAGCATGCTGCGTCCACTTTGTAGGTGGTGACGCGCACGCTGGTCAGCATGCTGCGTCCACTTTGTAGGTGGTGATGCGACTCCGCCTGTCCACCGACCACGACACACATCGCCGTCCCTGACAACGTCCTCCTGGGGGACTGGCTTCCTCAGCTTGACACACTCGGTAGGCAAAACCAACTCCACTGCCCGCCAGCTATGCGACGTACCCAAACTGGATACATTTGGCAGACTGGAATTAAGCGTAGTGTTCCCAAACAAAGTGCTGGTGATTTTTTTCGCCATTTTTAGTGGTCTCCAGAGCTCCTGACCTCTTCCGTTGTCGCTGCTGGGTTCGAACGGACAATGTGAGAGCCAGCTGCTGCGCCATGGCAACCGGCCGGCGCACCAGGAGCCCCTGTGAGATCCCGGTCCGGCCGTGTTGCAGGGCACCGCCAGACTCGCTTGTTCATCAGCCACTGCGGCATCGGAGGCGTGATGGAGGCCGTCTACTGCGGCGTACCGCTCTGTAAGGCGCTCCCCATGGCCCGAATCACTGCCACTGTCATCATGGCTATTACGACGTAACGATCTGAGGCGCTCAACATGGCCGTATCGCTGCCACTGTCGGCATGGCGTATACGACGTACCGCTCTGAAGGCGCTCCCCCATGACCCGTATCACTGCCACTGTCATAGCTATATACGACGTAACGCTCTGAAGGCGCCCAACATGGCCGTATCTCTGTCACTGTCGTCATGGCTATACACACGTACCGCTCTGTAAGGCGCTCCCCACGCCCGTACCACAGCCATTGCCGTCATGGCTGCGCACGACACACCCGTGCCTGCGAATCTCCGTGATTTCATCAAATTTATGTAGTTACGTATAATTTGATCAGCTTTATACATAGTATCAATAGTTGTGCTCTTGCACCGCACAATAGCACTGCGCTCTTTGTACTCTTCGAAGCCTAGCAATGTACCATGTCGTTAAACGTGCAAAGGAAGTAAAAACCAGGCACCGTTGGCAAAATAGGCAGGCACAATATAAGTCAAATGAGATAAAATAGAACTACCCAACGTTCTACCATTTATTTAATGCAAATAGCGCGACGCGTATTTAAGCCGCAAGTTAAGATTATTCATATTTAGACATGCCTGCAATTGGCGTCCTCAAGCATATATTGACTGTTGTACACGATTATTGACCATGCCGTCCATTTCAGTGTGTGTTCCAGTATTTGGCGATCAGTTCGAAAACGCAAAGTTCATGGCTTATCGTGGATATGGAATAGCAATGGACACTTTTGACGCCAGTGAAAGCGATCTCCAAGCGGCCATCAACGAACTTCTCAGCAATGATAGGTAAATATCGTATTATACGCGCTTTATAAGCTGTATTATCGTATTATGCGCGTTTTTGTTTCTATTCGTATTACGTTCCGGTGAGTTCTATCGGTTACTGGTACATGCCAAATTTAGTATGTTATACTACGAGACAGATGTCACTAACAATGTTTCGTGAAGGCCACAAAGTTGCGATCTTTCTTTCCTTATGCACGGCTGGCTCCTCCGGAATACACATGCATCTGTCTTCGGCAAGCTGAAACAGACAAACCAGCCAAAAGAGCGGTATGTTCGGCTTGGCATGGCTCGGCTCCGTTTGGATCGGAGTGGACTAGATCGGATCGGATCGGATCGAATCGGATCGGATCCGGTCCAATTGGATGTGGTTAGGTGGGGTCAGGTCGAAGTAGAGTAGGCCGGCAGGGACAGACCGAGCCAGGTCGCACTGAGTCGCTGGCGTAAGAATTATTACCGGTGTTTGCGCGTCGTCTCTCCCGCTATATTGTGCGTTACCGACCCTGCTCGCAGCTACCGGGCGAGCACCCGGCGCGCCTCGGCCATCTGGAGGTCAGAGAGAGAGACGGCCACCGACCGAGTTCACCACTGGATCGAGTTTCTGTCGACCCACGGCGCCCCGGAGCACCTGCGCGTGCTGGACGGCAACCTGAACTGGATGCAGTACTTCCTGCTGGATGTCTGCTTTGCTTTCGTGGCGATCGTTTCGCTGATCGTGTTCGTTTGTGTATTTACGGTGAGAAGGCTTGTCAGACCCTCGTCAAGAGAAAAGAAGGTGAAGGTGAAGTGACGTAAGCGATAACCAAACACATGAAAACTCGTAGACATGTTGTTTGTACGGTGACCTGAGTTACCACGGTACTTGTGAGCGGGCAACTCCAGCAGAGGAATATGTGCGGCAACATTGAACACGGGGAACATCAGCCAGCATGCCAAGGCGGCTGAAAGGCAAGAAAGTAAACCCTTGCACAGTTATGAGGCCTCTTAAGCAGTGTTCTGACCATAGCCCACATTCATTGGTGTACAGCACTTTTTACAGCACTAGCCTCGCTTTCTTTGAGATGGCCACATGGAACCTCGGCCAACCCTGCCCCCAGACATCTACATGCATCGTTCTCTTCATGTTTTAATAACCATCGTCGTGCCCTTCCGCAAAAGAACGGCTTAATTCGGCGGAACTCACGCGCTTGGACGGAGACCAATGCGTACAAAACTGAGGATATTAGCCGGTTCACAATGGTGTGATCAGTGAAATTTCAAACATTTTAAACGTTCCAAAAGATTATTCACGTCAGTGAAAGGGAGTGTTCCACATTTGTATGGGGTTTTAAACTAAAATAACCATCTTGACGATCATTCGGTGCAGTTCACAGCCCTGCTCTTCGCAAGACCGTTATACCTCTTGTTTCTGAGCTACACGCCCGCGAAGATATGCAGGCTATTTGTGCAGGCTATTTTGAGGTCACCCGGGCATCTATGACGACTTTAAAGCGTCTTTCAAATCCTGCCATTCTATTGGTCATGCGGCGGCCAAGGCCGATACAGATATAATTGTCGAGTCGTACATATCTGGCGCTGGTGAGTGTGATCTCCGAGTATAACGGCCGTCAACGACGTCTAGATCAACGTTGTGCAGGGTACGATGACGCAATCAAATAATGACATATTGAAGAGCAAATTTCCAGACAGAGAAATTCTATTGAAAGGAATTTTATGCTTGAAATCATCGCTTGGAAATCATGCATTCATATGTTACGAAGGCAGTTCTTATCTACTTTTAGTTATTCACAGCGCATCTAACTACTGATCTTTTTGAGGGAGCACACATCGAATAGCCGTGGGACGACGGTTCTGCATTAACCACGCGATGGTTTGCCAAAGACTACAGAGACGATGTGTTTGGTTTGGCAAGCGGGACGAAACCGTCGCTGAAAAACGTGTCCGGCTCGTGCGCTCGTCAGAACTGACGTCCCGTTACGACCTCCTGATGTTTTTGCCCAGTGCCGTTCGCTGGGTTATCCACCCAATGGGCGACATGCACTCCAAGTGTAACCCACATTCACCGTTCTCAAGATCGTTTCTGAAGGCATCAACCGAATAAACCACACCCAAATCAATACACATACCAGACAGCTGTGAAAATTCCTGATATATTACCGGTGGTCACAATCTCTTAACACGATATAATCACGTACGAAAAGAGCATCTTCGCATCACAAATAATAACCGTATCCCGTGAGCGGGGGGCGCACAGACGCCCCTGGCGCGGAAGATCACACCCAGTGCCAACGGCCGGTCCGGAACGTTCCCCTCCCAAGTCCCACAAACCCCGAGCACACACCCGCACGCCAGGGACCAGACGGCACGCCGCGCCGACGGACCCGACTCCCCAGATACCCTTCAGCCGGGCCTCAGCGAGGGAGCGTGTCAATCCCAGCCACAGAGTACGCGGTGCGGTGGACCGGCCGGAGTCGCCACTCTGCGACGGACGGGTTTCACCGCAGTCTCCGAGGAAGCGCGACCACGGCGCGTGCGGAGGGAAGCGCTGCTGCTCCCGTGTCGCGTCAGCAGGCGCGACACAGCACTACACGCCCCGGGCTACCTGCTCACGGCACGCCACTGCAGCTCACCGCCCGAGGCTCCACGGCACTGCACGCCCCGGGCTACCTGCTCACGGCACGCCACTGCAGTTCACCGCCCGAAGCCCCAGCCGGCGTTGTGGAATGGTGCCGGTCGCGAGGGACCGTCGGGGACGGACGCTGGCGATCACGTGAGCCGAGACATTGACTGAACCGCGGCGTCCCCACACCCCATACCATGTGTTGTACCCAGGCGGGCGCCCACGCCCGGAATGTCAGCCGACGAGCCACATCGCCGAGAACACAACAGAGTGCATATGGACAGTAGTGGTCTGAAACGCGCCGCCGTTAGACGGGAGGCGGAGCTCTACTGAGCCGTCCAGCCGGACATTGGTCTCAAGAGCTGCCACCTTCACGCGGAGCCTTCCCCATTTGTATGCTGCGGCGTGCATCAGGCAGCTCACAAACGCAGCACCGCGCGTTTTGACCAGACCGATCGGTCAACACTTGTGTTCCTAAGATAGCTGCCATTTCAACCGCATGCGGCGCGAATCAGTCGCCGGCGAGTCCCGAGATAATGCGGCCAGTGTTCGTTTCCGTGCGTACATAGTACATACGTCATACAGTACACACGTCAACACTGTTGACCATTTGCACCCTGAGCTTACTTACATTTTTAAAATATCCACTGTATGTTTCAATGCAAGATTGAGCGGCGCCTTGTTTTAAAACGTAGCTTACATCAAATCCAATAAACCGACCACCTACAAAGGACCTCTGAAACAAATTCCCTGGACAACCTGTTTGCTGGATAAAGATTAATTGGGGAAACATAAAATATTTAAAGGCATATCTGGCTCAAAACAGCTATGCAGCTAAAAAAAACGTTATGAAAAAAGTGAAAGCCAAATAGCCACCATAACGAGACTTTTCAAGACCAAAGCATTCCTCGTCGTGTGCGCCTCGTGTCGCGTATGTCTGACTAGTCATCACTAAACTCGTCCTATTCGTGGTCCGTAACATGAAGTGCAAGGCAAAACAGGTGCGTCCAGCCCGACCTAAGAAACAGCACAAACTTTCTCACAACTGCTCCCAACATAGCGCCAGCTCTTGCTGCGCCTATTAACACCCGCCCGCCCGGCACACCTGCACGCAGCGCCCCTGCAGCGGACCGGCCGCCTGGCCCGCCACCTGGCGGCGGCGGGTGTCGGGTGGGACGAGGCGTCGCCCAGCGGGCGGAAGGATGGGGCGAGGCCGGCTGCCGCGCCGCCTAGCTGCCACTCAGCTGGCGGTACCGGTGGTTGACGCCCTTGATGGGCAGCGGGTGCGCCTCCGTGTTGAACACCCACTCGTCCAGCGACAGCAGGCTGTTGTCGCTGAACAGCAGGTACAGGTACTGGAACACGGAGTGCGCTCACTGGACGGCAGTTACGCAACATCACTGGCTTGAGGACAACAATGGAGGCTAAAACGCAGCAACTCGACGAGCCCCTGGTTTCGGTGCCGACAGGCACCAGAAACGTGACATCATAATCCATGTGGTTGTCAAAGACCTCATCGCCACACAAATATTTGACGATCACATCGGCGTTCTCAAGTAGCTCTCCCGATGAGATCGGAGACCGATATCAGATACCCGAACCCAAAGGCGCCCGATCTCCATACAAACATACACGTAAATAAGACATGCGTATTGGGGACTCCACCAAAGGGAGCCCACCGCCTCCCATCAGGCTACGAGTACCCGCTCCTGGGATCCGTTTTTGGGAAACCGAGGCCCATACGGCCAACAATTCCTCGGCCACACATAGTCCAAACCAGCGGCCGGCGGCGGCCCTCCGCCGGACAGCCCCCCCCCCCCCCCCCCGACCGGTCGGATCGCCCGGGCCGCCAGTGGGCGGGCGGGCCGGCTGCTGGCCCCACCTTGAGGGTCTCGGCCAGGAAGAAGCTCTGCTGTACGTCGTCGTGGCGCGGAGCCGGCGACTCTACGTCCTGGATGCCCGAGAAGCCAGCCTCCACGCGGCAAAACTGCTCGATCGCCTGACGCACGGACACGAGCCATGGACACGCAGACGGTGGAGGTGCGCACGCTGACGGAGACGGGCGACAGGCGGCCTCGCGCGCGCCGACGGACGACGTCAGACCACAGCCAGCCAAGAGTAGTGCTATGTAAGTGTGGGATGAAGACAGTACCACAATGTTGACTCGTCCATCGATGTGCGGAAGGCTAAGTCGTGACATCGGGACACATGCGTGTACGGCGTCCGCTCGAGACGGGACTCGATCACGTAAAATAGAGCAAATGCATAGACCAGAACAACACCGGCCCACACGCATCTTTCCATACAACAAAGGCCTCTCCACTTCTAGTAGCAAAAACTCCAAGCCGACAGCAATCCGGTACTGAAGCTGACCACCTGAGCGGGGATGGTGCGAATGGGCTGTCCATGCCCAGTGCCGCCGTCGCGAGCCGTACCTGAGCCGCCTCCCACCGCGTCCAGTGGCGCCGTCACGAGCCGTACCTGAGCCGCCTCCAACCGCGCCCAGTGCCGCCATCACGAGCCGTAGCTGAGCCGCCTCCCACCGCACCTGCTGCCGCCGTCACGAGCCGTACCTGAGCCGCCTCCCACCGCGCCCAGTGCCGCCGTCACGAGCCGTACCTGAGCCGCCTCCCACCGCGCCCAGTGCCGCCGTCACGAGCCGTACCTGAGCCGCCTCCCAGCGCGTCCAGTGGCGCCGTCACGAGCCGTACCTGAGCCGCCTCCCAGCGCGTCCAGTGGCGCCGTCACGAGCCGTACCTGAGCCGCCCCCCACCGCGCCCAGTGCCGCGTCACGAGCCGTACCTGAGCCGCCTCCCATCCCCACTCGCGGTACTTCTTGTCGCCGGTCAGCCGCCAGAGCACGAAGTAGCTTTCGATCACCTCCGGGCGCAGGATGTAGTACCTCTCCTGCAGCTTGATGGCCTTCGCCTCCAGGTTGTCGGTGAACCTAAGTGAGCAGCCCCAGGCCATCAGGACCGATCTCAATGTCCACGCGTGCGGCGCGGTAATGGCCGCACACATGTGATGGCTGATGGCATGTACGTGGTGACTGATGGCCCGCATGCGATGGCGGATGGCACACATGAGATGACACAAGTGATGACCCTGACGAAATGCTAAGTGTTTGAAACAGCATGGTTGTTATGCCCATCAGCAACGACCTGATCATCGGGAATACATCTCTCGTACATCTGCCACACAGATGTCATTGATGGTGATCTCTGCATGACGTACAACGCCCTACGGTATCACCGAGACTTAACAGTTAAACCGCTGCAATCATTTCCAGAAGGTGACGTTCAAGTTGCTCTGTTCAGGCTCGGCGAGGAGCTTTACCGCATCCCAGAACTACCACAGAAAAAATCCCTTAACACGTGCCCGGGTAGCCGCCTAGATACCCTTCGCTCGGGTGGGGGGGGGAGGGGTCAATTTGACCCCCCTAAGGTCTCGGCAACTAAGCTACAAACAGAATGTCGACTTGTACGTGAACTCACTTAGGTCAAAGTTTGAGGTTTCTAGGTCATGACCTTTGGTCAAATAAGGTCAAACAAGGCCAAATTCCAGGTTGGTCTCCAAAGCGCCCCCAGAACAAAGATTACTGTTTCTATGCAAAAGGCCACATGCTTATTTAATGTCAGTGACATTGTTTGACCTTTTGAAGGTCATGGTGAACAAAATAATGCAAGACTGCTCTGAGTTTTGCATTTGAATAAGCGACAAAGACTACGCTAGGCAGTATGTTCCTAAAACACAAAAGGCTGACCTGGGTCATTTTAGGTCAACGAACTATTCTGCTCTCTAAGAAGTCCATGGAAGATGCATAATGCGGTTCCCACTATCAATAAATTCGAAATGAGCACCAGAAACTGTCCCATACAGCAAGCCCTAGGGAAAAAGAACAGGTTGGTTTTGACCTTGGTCTGACCTTTGTACCTGACCTCAGCTCAATGTATTTTGCTCATTCAATTACTGTGTTGTCTAAGAAAGCATCCCAGAGATGTATAGCTTCGTCTAACGTTCCGTTGTTGCATCATATTAAACGATTCCCTAGAAATTGCCTTCGCTGGCTTTGACCTACCATAGGTGAGCGATCTTACAAGGTAAATATAAATTTTTGACACCAAACGATCACGATCCGCTACTCAATTGTCTGCAGCTATGCAAAATTTGGCGCGGCTGCGCCGCGCCATTCGGAAACCCTTCTGAAAAAGCTTCGGGGAGGGAGAAGACATTATGACACCTACCCGAGCGCGCGTTAAATGGAATGATTGAGGAAAGCACCTAAAGCAGGTGAAACATTTGTTATCACGACCCCTACACGCGTGCCCAGACGAATTTATTTTCCTCTGGGACACAATAATCATAAAAACCCTAGTTTAAGTCACATTGCCTCCATAAGGTCTTCTCAGCCGTAGAAAAAATCTTCCCCGGTGGCGGCACGAACCTGAAGCTCTCCGGTCCCAGCTTGGTGACAGTGCGATCGTATGACTCGTGGCAGGTACGCGTGATCTCCTTCCCGATCTTCAGGTAGCGGTCTGTTTTGTTGTCGGGGTCCTTGGCAGCACCGAGCGCGTACAGCCCACCTAGAACACACCAGTTGCGTCGGGTGCATTTGATATAAGCGAGAAGGGGTTCTAAAAGGTCTTTGCCTTTGACGTCATCCTTTTGCAGACGTGGATTTCTATGGCGGCCTTTGTGGTCGGGATGTGCGTCAGAGGTTAACCCAATGCTCCATTAGCTCCATAAACGTGACCGGGCGGACCTTCCTAAAACAGACTCCTGCTCCAGAAACAAAGACCATTTCGGTAAATTTAGTCTGAGGGCGTAGAACTCAACCCAGAGGGAAACCTTTTCCAGAACTGCTTTCATCCTCATCGGATGCCCAGTCGGTAGCTCACTGAAAGCGATGCCAATGTTAACGGACTCGACAAAGCCGCAGCCTCCAGCGATAGCGCTACAGGTTCGATCACTCGGCCACAGATGACCCAGATCGGCCCGCATTAACAAACATCGAGGCCTCACAGCACGCTCCGAACCAATCCCACATTTTAAACTGGTTCTGCGGGGACAAATGCAGCCGCGAGAACACTATCCAGACACTCAACGCCAAGGTGGTACTTAGGCTTATTACAGAGCAGTCGCATTGCTCACGGACCGACCCCCGCCAGCAGTCCGCGGCACAGAGGCGCTTGAGACGCCTCGAGACGGCGCAACTCTTTCTTTTCAGAGCGGTGGAACGTGCCCCGAATATTTTACGTCTTCTGTTGTTTGCGTTGTTTGATGGTGTTCTGGGACGCACTGACTGCATTGCCGACTCTCCGCCCAGGCACGAACATCGTAAGGTTTCATCGACCTACTTTATACGCGTTCCAGAATGCCGAAGAGGCCTCACCACCAGAAATAGCACGCAGGAATGAAGATCACATGCAAACAACTGACTGCAAAGTAATCCGAATGTAAATTGATTGGGGGGGGGGGGGGGGCGTAGGATCACCTCTGGACATCACCACAGATGTGACATGTAAAGATAACAAGAACACCACACTTTGGTTCCCAAATGGAAACAGAAAGCGCATATTGCGGGCTCATGTGCGCTTTCGCAAAAAAAAAAAACAGCTAACCGTCCGAGATAATCGACGAATATCGAAACTAACCACCCTTGGCGAAGGGGCTGCACATATCGCGAAGCATACCGCAACCATGTAGCAGGGGCTATGGTATACGAGGACATCTCTTTGCAGCTCTCGCTTCGCCGCCTCTCAGCGGGAAACGGACCGTCAGGGGAATCACTGGCCGCTTTGGGACATCCATATCTGGCCACTCGAAACCTGAACGACATTTCGAGTGGCCATCGTCGACCTCACGACGCTGTGAGGAGAGCTCGCAAAGCCGCCACTTCCCACCTGAACCCCGTCTGCGTCGTCGCCGTCGGCCTGTACCTCGCCCTCAGCGCGCGCGCGCGCGGCTCACCGATGAAGCAGGCGAGGTGGTCCATCTTGTGGTTGGGCCGCTCGTTGAGCAGCTCCGACACGTAGGTGAGGCCGCCCTGGCTGGAGGTGCGCACGAGCCGCTCGGTGACGTTGCCGATGGCGTGTCGGTAGAGCATCAGCGCCTCGCGGTCGGCGCCGCCCGAGCGCAGCCACTCCTTCAGCAGGTACTCGTAGAACGAGTCGCCCAGCGCACCCACCGATATGTGGCCTGGGGGGGGGGGGGGGGGGCGCCCAGTCAGCAAGGCTCGGGTCCGTCTGGTGTGGACGGCGGTCGGTGTCCCCGCTCAGATGAGCTAGTGGGGACATCAACCGCTAGCTCATCTGGGCAGCTGGTGATGTCCACAGCTGGTGTCCCCGCTCAGCTGAGCTAGCGGGGACATCAACCGCTAGCTCAGCTGGGCGGCTGGTGATGTCCACAGCTGGTGTCTCCGCTCAGCTGAGCTAGCAGGGACATCAACCGCTAGCTCAGCTGAGCGGCTGGTGGTGTCCACAGCTGGTGTCTCCGCTCAGCTGGGCTAGCAAGGACATCAATCGGTAGCTCAGCTGAGCGGCTGGTGGTGTCCACAGCTGGCGTCCCCGCTCAGGTGGGCTAGCGGGGATATCAGCCGCTAGCTCAGTTGAGCGGCTGGTGGTGTCCACAGCTGGTGTCCCCGCTCAGCTGGGTTAGCAGGGAGACCAGCCATCAGCCGAACCCAATGATGGGCTTTCCGATCCTGGAGGTGCCAGTATCACCTCATATGGTCCCCAGGGGCTTACACCACTGAACAGGTGAGATATGCGTGTGGTTTCGTCGTACCCCTGCATATCAAGAGGATCAGATGACTGAATCACGGCTTCAAGTCATACAGCGGTCACGCTATACAGGGGGCACGGTGGTCATCGCTCCAATAGATATATTTGCTTTTGAGGCATTGCTAGCCGTTAACTCAGTTAGAGTGCTTGTTCCAACCGATTTGCATCGTGCGGGCCTGACCTGGCGTTTTCGCGCCGTGAGGCAGGTTACGGCAAGTTCATATCTGCCCGTTTCGGTCTCACTCAGTACTTGCATAAGTCACTCAGCACGAACAGAAAAGCTCGTAGTGTCTTCGTCATTCCCATGCTAACATGCCTCCGAAAGCCTCCCCGAAGCGCACTGCTTGTTAAGCAGACAATGACGCGGGCAGCGCTCGCTTCCATACTTACGATTCCCTTGACAATGCGTTTCTAAGCCTCGGCGTCATCGTGGGCTTAACAACTCCATTGCCAGTGGGGATAGGATGCTTTATGGCGGGCCGAGTGATTTAAGACGCCCCAGAGAAAATTGAGCGCAGTCCTCGCACGCGGTGACGTGTGTCGCGGACGCTCGGGCGGCCGTCTGTGAGCAGGGGCTGGTGCTCGATTGGCGCCTCGAGAGACCCCGTGAACTGGCCACATCTCTGCCAGGAGCTGGCAACGCAAGTGATCACGGGGTGATAAATGGGCAAATAAATAAGCTATGAGAATGCTTCCACTGTCGTTGTGCTGTGGTATCAATCACAAGCTGTCCACTCAAGGTGCGACAATGTGAGAAATAAGATACAAGTGGTAAAAGCGATAAAAATGATCGTGGCACAATCACAAATTATGTGCAATGACGCAACTTGCTTGCCAGTTTCTCCGTGACCGATGACGCTAAACTGGCCAGCGCTCTGGCACAGCCGCCCACCAACACGCTACTTGTCCTCGTCCCGAGCTGCGGAGGAACCAAGGCGGTCACACAATGCGCTTAGCCAGTACCGTGTCCGCTCCCGGCTGCGGGCAAGTTTTACTGTTTCACGCCACTAGTCCGCTCTCCAGCCTCCGCATCGTCACGACCGCCGACGGCACAGCACGCGCTACGCCACACGCGCCGCGGCGGCCGTCGCCGCCGCTGCCTCACTCACGTTGGCCCCACTTCCCCGTCTTGGGGTGCAGGTAGTTGGGGTACAGGCCGCCCGGCTTCTCCAGGCCGGCCAGCACCTGGCGGATCTTCTGCACGCGTCGCCGGAACTGCGGGTCGCCGGTGACGTCGGAGAGGTAGCTGAACTCCATGTGCAGCGTGCCGAGCTCCGAGAGGATCGAGCTGCCGCCCGACGCCCAGCCGTAGTTTTTGGCCTTCTGCGCGGCGGAGACGGGCGTCATGTGAGCAGGTGAGCTGGAGCGGGCACGCGGAGCGGGGCGACCGGCTCGTCGGACGCCACGCGCGCTGAGCGCGCAGCACGGGCGGGTGTGATTAACCAGTGGTGTCCCGGCAAAATCCCCTTTATCGCATAGGTCCGTAAATCAGTCTGCTCATGTTTTTAGACACTGTTGATACGCGACTATGGAAACTCATCCCCAGCGCAGCTACCCCTCGGCTCTGGTACTTCCCTGTAAGGCCGGCGACAAAGCACACTGAGCAGCCATGGCACCTTCTCTCAGGCGATGGGGTGGGAGTGGGGTGACGCAATGTGCCGCAGTTCTGACCCCGCTTCCTCTCATGGGGTTAATATTCAATCGCCTTACAAGTGTGGGTGGGGGTGGGGGGGGGACCCAATGGACCGGCTCCACATTCGACTCCAAGTGAGATATACAGTTTCGCCTCATTAAGGGCGCCGCGGTAGGTTTTTGAGTGAGTCCAGCAGGACTCGACATCAAGACGGCGCCAATTAGATCAGCCGTCACTTTTCTCGTGATCGCGGGAAATACATGAAATGATCGCGCAAGCAATGTGCAGAAATATCGGCACAGCGGAGCTAATGCACACCAACCGCTGCCGGGACGCGACAGCTCGCCAATACGCTAATGCAATAGCCACGGAATGATCGACATTGGCCGCTTCGGTCGCCGGCAATTTGCTCCAGCAATGGACATGTGCCGTGACTATTGGACAAATCCGGCAAGGAAACCGCAACTGTGGGCAACAAAGGCAGCTGGATTCGGGGGCCCCAACGCTTTAGCCACAAATAACAGCAGCGATAAGCATACTGCGCCAAAGTGCACTTTGCATACTGCACACAGCAATTTGCATGGGACGGGAACACGGCAATCCGTTTAAATGGCCTAAGCCAGGTCTCTTCGGAGCCGCCCGTGTGGTGTTTCATCATTCAGGCTTTACGAGGCCTGCGTTGCCCATAAATCGCGAGGGAAAGCTTTTGTACAGAACAGACTCACACAAACATCAAACTAGGTCACGCTGCTCCAGATACAAAACACAGTGCGCCATTCGCCGCCTTATCAACCGCAATGCGTAGGTTTGGCTGACAAACTGCAAATATGCGAATATACCGTGACCGCAGACGTGCATTGCCTGAAATTGCGTGCCAGTGAGCCAGCCAAAGCGTTCTGCGTCTCTCACGACCCCTCCCCTCAATCCAATCACACAAATCCTGCCGGGCAACTTCACCGGACCGAAACAATTTAGTGCCTGTAGCCCCCACGCCCGCCTTAACAGTCACGAATCCCGGGTCCACGTGGGGCGGCCCCCCACGATCCCCTCCCTCCGCTCCGTCCGAGTCCGGGGCACGGTGACGACCCGTGACGTCACCTGGCCCAGCGTGGCCCCGGCGGAGCACCGCGAGGCTGCGGGACAGTGCCGGACGCCGGGGCCCGAGAGCGTGTGGGTCATCGTCAGCAGCGTCACCAGCACCAGCCTGCGGCACGTCGATCTGGTGCGGTTGGTGCCTGCGGTCTGCCATGTGGGCGGCTCACTGCCAACGCAGACACCTCCCTCATGCCAAATGGGGTGTTGCGTTGTGGTCGAGGTTGTGATGAAACATAACCCGGGGTCGTATGTGCTGCAGTATTAGCTCCGCATAGCTCAGCACTAGCTCCCTCCGACAACAAGCTGCAGAGAAAGCTTGATGCCACTGTGGGCGGCTCCGAACTGCGCGGGGCGTCCCTCACTCATCCCGGTGGTGGACACGACCAGGCCGTAGGGGACGCCGGTGGTCCGCGCAGGGCGTTTCTCTACTCACCCCCGTGGTGGACACGACCAGGCCGTAGGGGACGCCGGTGGTCCGCGCAGGGCGTCTCTCTACTCACCCCCGTGGTGGGCACGACCAGGCCGTAGGGGATGTCGCTAGACCGCGCGGGGCGTCCCTCCACTCACCCCCGTGGTGGACACGACCAGGCCGTAGGGGATGTTGCTAGACCGCGCAGGGCGTCCCTCCACTCACCCCCGTGGTGGGCACGACCAGACCGTAGGGGATGCCGGTGGGCGTGTCGAAGGCGGGCAGCAGGGCGCGCGCCGTCTCCAACGCCCGGTCCCGGAACAGGGTGTCGCCGCTCAGCGCGAAGCACGACAGCAGGCCCCCCACGTACCGGATGTTCATCTCGAATATCGACACCTCCGAGTCCTGCAACAGGGGCGCGGCGTCCCGACGTTTACTGCGAGCAACGACACGTCGAGTCAGAGTCGAGCAGCAGAGTCCTGCAACAAGATCGGAGTGTCGAATGCTTACTTCGAGCATCAACAACTCGAGTCAGAGTCAAGCTGCGGAGTCCTGCGACAGGATTGCAGCGTCGAATGAGCATTTCGAGAATCGACACTTCCCATTCCCGCACGATGGTCGCACAGCACAGGTGTTGGGGCTTCTTCCTAGCTTCACAACTTCCCAGTCGTGCAGCAGAGCAGCGCACGTGGACCAGTGAACAAAGGAGGCACATCGGACGGCGCTAGGCGTTACCACCGCCAACAGGATGTCTTGGCTGGCAACGGCGTCATTGCTGTTATCAGAAACGCCCATTGAAGGGTTCAGGTCATCAGAAAATGTGTTGTAATTTGGCTTCCTCTAGGACAAGGTACTGGACACGCCAAAAACATTTCAATTCATTTCCCGAAACGAGCCAAGCCAAGACCGTGATCCAAACGAACGAGCCAAGCGGCCGTAGCCCAAAACAAAGCTTGCCAACATAGATAAATACAAAACTAAAATACCGCTACCTCCGCGCCCTGCCTTCGGTCGTGGCGACACGGACTAAGATCTCTGTCATAATGGGGAGTTCCGCTGATGCGTAGGCGCCTCCTATAAGGCTCAGGCATAGACTGGGACCATGCGAAATTATTGCTACATAATTCAACCACTTATGGAAAAAGACGACACTTATGTACCCAGGGAGCATGCCGCGGACTTGACATTTGACACAAAACGACTTCTAAAAAATATATCAGCAACTCGTGTAAAATCGCAACAGACATATCCGGTTATAACATATAAAACAAGCACGAAGCACAATCACACGGTTGCATCCGAACGACTGTCTCGAAAGCCACTGCGCAGCGACGGAGCAGGGGCAGCTCCAATCCAGTTTACAACCGGATTAAGCAATCTGATGGTTTAGATCACATTTTCATGGCGGTTGCTCAGCTACAAAGGTTCGTTTGTGCAATTAATTAGAGCCCGAGTACGTGAGCTGCATCCATGCGTACCGTAAAGGAGGCCTCAATGAGCCTGAGCCTCGCTGAGTTGAAGAGCCTTTATGAGCTCTTCAGCTTTACTTGGTGGCTGAATTCGCTCCTGAAATTCCGAAACCCTTTATGCGCAGCGTGATGTCACTGCCGGGCATTTCTATGCGCCCTGTTCGGATCAAATTGTCAGGCAAAAAACAAACAACAATGATGAATGTGTCTGGTTTCAGGACGATCTCGACCTAACTGTAACAGTTGGATTCGCGTTACAGAAAACGGCCCGATCGGCCGCCGCTGAATGAGACACGCTGGCGTGACACGCCCCTCCACTGGGACCGCGGCCACCGAGGGCACGTGCTGCACATCGGACCCGAGACCGTCTTCGTCCCACGCCCGCCGAAAGCCCCTCCCCTCCCCCTCCGGTCGCCGGCCGCGAGCCGCTCCACGCCGATTCCATCGCCCAATCGGTGGCAAAGCCTCCGATCGGCCACGCCGCCGGCGGGGATCCTGCGGTCTGATCCTGCGGCGTTGTCACAGCTCCGGACGCCAGCGCTGATTAGTTCCGGCGCTCGCCAGCCGTACCTGGCGCGCGCGGGACCGGCGCATCACCGCCCCACCGAGACGGAATCCCGAGCCGACAGGTCTGGGAGATACGCCCGCTCTTGGGAGCCGCTCATCCCATCACCGCACCGCCGAGGCGGACTCACAAACCGACAGGTCTAGCAGATATGCCCGCTTTTGGGAACCGCTCACCCCATCGCCGCACCGCCGAGGCGGACTCACAAACCGACAGGTCTAGCAGATATGCCCGCTTTTGGGAACCGCTCATCCCATCGCCGCACCGCCGAGGCGGACTCACAAACCGACAGGTCTAGCAGATATGCCCGCTCTTGGGAGCCGCTCATCCCATCACCGCACCGCCGAGACGGCATCCCGAGCCGACAGGTCTAGCAGATATGCCCGCTTTTGGGAACCGCTCATCCCATCGCCGCACCGCCGAGGCGGACTCACAAACCGACAGGTCTAGCAGATATGCCCGCTCTTGGGAACCGCTCATCCCATCGCTGTGGACACTTCACCAATCAGTTTAGCATGATGACGTGAGTATGGGGTGGAAATGTGGCAAACCAACCTCGCAAGTGCGCATCAAGCGAAGTAATGACGCATCGAATGGCGACGATTTTGCTTATGACGATTAAAGCAGCCGGCTCTGAGAATTGAGAAGTCAGGAAGCATAAAGTTTGGAAGTTATCAAAACATACTTTTGATCTGATCTAGGGTCACTGTTTTCGCAAAGCGGAAGACATCAACCATCATAAGTCGAGTGGTGGACAGCTTGTGATGATCAAAGGAATATTCAAAACATACTTTTGATCTGACCTAGGGTTCACTACTTGCGCACAGGCAGATGGTAATTAATCATGATAAATCAGGGTGGTGGAGGGCTTGCGATGATCATAGGGATAATACTGCGATCTGAGTTGCATGCGAGCAAAACAAAATTGGCACACAGCGAAAGTGACCCCTTTTGACCTGACCTACGGTCACCACTTTCTAAACTCCGAGAGGGAATCAACGAAGCCTAATCGGGCGGTGGTTGTTTTATGGCAATCGGAACCATGCGTTCTGAGAACTGAGTTATCCGCAAGCAAAATTTTGAGAATTCGTTCAAAAACTAACTTCTGACCCGACCCAAGGTAACCATTTTCGCAACTGCAGGACGGAATCCGTAACACTTAGTCCTGACTTCTCACTTAATGATGTTGAATAGATTGGTTCATGCTCCAAACGGATTAAATGAGCGGTTTTCGAGGATCATCATATCTGGTAGGTACGTCGGTGCCCATCGGTCCCATAAGGTTCCACCTCGCCCAGAGTCGCGCGAAGCAGGTGGCTCAAGGGAGCCGCCCTGTCCGCCGGCGAGGCCTGCGCCTCACAGCTGCGCTCTCACGCACGAGGAGGCGTCCTATCACGCTTGCGGACGCCGACCGGCGCGTGCGGCGGGCCCGACGGCGCGACACTGTCGCGCGTCGACGCCCAGATCGCCGCGACAACGGCGCCTCCACGGCGGCGATCCAGGTCGGCCACGGAGTTCTTTTGTCCGACGGCGACGTCCGTGCCGTGCGGCCCGCCTCGGCGGTCACGTGGCCCAGATTGGCCAAAGGTCGCGCTCGCTGCCGCCGGGTCGGCGCAGGCAAACAGGCGGATCGGCTTACGTGGGCACCGGCAGACGCGGGAGGCGGGCCTCACTGGCTTACGCGGTCGGCTGCCGCCTGCAGACTACCTGCGAATGACTAGGGAGGAGAGACGGGGCTCACACTGGCCCACACAGTGGGCAGCCGCCTGGAGACCGCCTGTGAATGATGAGGGAGGGACGGGCAGGGCTCACAGTGGCCCACGCAGTGGGCGGCCCGCCTGGAGACCGCCTGCAAATGACGAGGTGCGGGGAGGGCAGAACAAGGAGAAAAATAGAAGACCGGACAGAAAGGCCGAGAAATAACAAGGAAGAGAGACAGATGGGTAGATATAGGATGCCGGCGGAAGACAAAGAGGAACAGGGACATGGACAGAAATCACGAACAGGGGGACAGGAACAGAGCGTCAAATATAACGAACTAATGCAAAACAAACACAAACAACACAATAGAAGCAAACGGCACCGGAGGAAGCGAAACGCACGGCGGTCAACACCCATCTGCTCCCGGGCGTTAATTAATGACGTTATCTCCACCGGGTCCGAGCCCTGTATCCCATCCCCTCCCCACCCCCGACCCCACCCAGCAGCCCGGTCCATTCACGGCTGCATCCTGTCACTGACAGCAGCGCCGGACCGCCATCCAGCCGTGCCGGTCCGCTGGGCGGCGCCGACCCAAAAGGGCGGCGGCGGCGCCAACGGTAACCGGGCTTGTACGGGCCGGTGAACGCGGCACTCGCGCCGCACGCAGGGGGTGTGCCTGCCCGGTCGCCCTCCCCGAACGGTACAGGCTGCGCGACCTAATTCTGCGCTCATGACTCACGCTCGTGGAGATGTGCTGGACTATCTTCCGTAAGGACAAAGAGGCCTGTTTGACATCGGTGTGGGAAAAAGAACAGTCTCTGACAGCTCATAAATGCCAATTCTCGGGGAGATACGCGGAGGTTCGGCTCTTTGCGCCGTCGCAGCGCCGACCATATCAGTATGCCGTCGCTGCTGTGCAAAATCGTATGCACTGCATGCAACCACGCGTGTACACGCACGACACTATCCCGCGGCCCACCACCCGAGAACCATTCAGACAGTCTCACGTTTAACCCGCTTCCTTCACCTCGCCACCCCGCCACCACCCGCCTCACTCACCACCTGCGACACATCCAGACAGTCTCACGTCTAACCCGCTTCCTTCACCTCGCTACCCCGCCACCGCCCGCCTCACTCACCACCTGCGACACGTCCAGATGCTGCTTGATCCAGAGTCGGCCCTCAGCGAACTCGTCCGTCATGCCCATGATGAAGAGCGTGTCCATGGCGTCGACGATGGTGGCGCCCATCGGCCGGCGGCCGAAGATGCCGGCCGAGTGGCCTGCGCTTGCTCACCGGCCCGCACCTCGTTGGCGCCCCAGGCGTAGCTGGCGTAGCCCCGCCAGGCGTGTCTGCATCATCTGCCGGCACGCCGCGCCCGGGTGGTGGGTCAGACCCCCGAACGGCGCGGGACGGGTAGACAGGGCAAGTGACGGGTCGTGACGGGTCGAGGCATGTGACAAGTCGTGACGGGTCGAGAGGGCACGTGACGGGCCGTGACGGCACGTGGCAACGAAGTGCCGCCAGGCGGGAGGAATCGGGACTGATGGGATGCGACCGGCAGGAGCGGGCCGGCTCTGAAGCTAGTGTCTGACGCAGTTGGATGGCGGTCGTAATGGTGGAGCTAGTTAGCAAATCAAGAGAGAATACAACAGAATGCGCTGGTATTGTTAGACCAATGCATTATCCGGCCGTGTAAAGGATTTTGAGTCTGGCCAGAGTCCGGTCATAGCAAAATGAGACAACACTTAAAGAAGACGGATATTAGTCGAACTAGAAACGTAGAAATGGTGCTATCGTCTAACAGAACAAAACAAAAATAAAATCAAAAGAAAAACAAAAATCACCGCTTTGGCTACAGCGACTTTCATCCAGGAATGGCTTTCTAAGCAGCGACATTACATCCGCGCCTATTCCTGCACAGCTTTGAATGGGACAAACTCGTGTTCCTTGCATGAAGGCTCCACGAAACGCTTTGGCACGTGATATACTGCATTCATGCTTTCGCCTCCCCCGGTTAACGAGGCATGAAAAGAACAGCAACACGGTGTGGGCACAAACAGCCCAACTCTCATACCGTTCGTTTGGGCGAACAGGTAGGTTCATCCCGTACTATGTACACACACGTCCATTAAGCGTAGAAAAAGTTCCCCACATAAGTTGAAAACGCCGAGTTGGAGGCGGATGAATATCCAAGCACTACCTTGGTAAGCCCAGTGTTCCACTTAAAGCCTGCTTTTGGCCAGTCCGACTGCCTACACATCATCTGTGCACTTAGCATGTGTAAGTCTGTGTGTGTCACTGGGGCTTTACGACGCACTCAGCTACTGGGGCTATATGGCGTCGCCTACCTCTCACCCTGGCAGGAAGGGCGGGCACCGCGGGGAATCGAACCCCGTACCTCTGGTTTCCCAGACGTGCAGTGGTAAACCACTACACTACCGGTACCTCCATGTGTAAGTCTACAATGCATGACAGTATAATGAT